GAAAGGCTAGAAACTCAAAAACCAAACGACTCCTGTGAGCAAGTAGCCTTTCTTGGGCTATTGGTAGAGGTACACTGAAGCAGACACATGCTTTTTAAAATAAATATTAGTTTTGAACACTTACAAAAACTATAGCAGACAGGAATTGATTTGAGATGGAGAGAGTGAAGGTAGAGTTAACCTCTGATATGAAATATATGTACTAATAGCATATGGGTCCCCAGTCCAGGCTGGATCCACTTCTAAATTTCAATTCTGAGTGCAAGGAAATAAATCTTTCTGATCTTGTGGAGTGTATCCCCTCTGCATCCAAGTTATGCTGCTGTTTTAGTGATGTTCGTTATGGACTCACTGTCAGTGCCAAACTAGAAATTTACTCTGCATCTTCAGGAGGTGGAACAAGTTGTCTTGTGACTCACAGAGGGTAACAATATTGGAGAGTGTGGTAGCTGATACTTTCTCATTTCTCTTTATTCATATTATCACGTGCACATGTGAAACTTTTTATTAAAGCATCTTGTTTTCTGGCTTTGAACCACTATCGAAAGTAAGTTATCATTAAGCTCACATAAAAAGGACATGTGGGCTTTCCCAGAAGTGTAGGACAATTCAGACCTCAGAGGTACCACTTTTTCCAGCAGAGCACATCCTTCAGTGTGCATGTGTAAAAGTATTTGCACAAAGTGGGCATAGCCTATTCCTTTTTGGCATTAGCTGCAGTTGACTGATAATTAATTAGAGATATTTCCCTTTTCTGTTGCTCGATTGCAATTCTACTTGTCAGAGGCTTGTAAAATTAAGTGGTGTCCCGCCTAAATTACCAGGTAAGGGTTTTTTTCCTTAGGTGTACACTTTGCCATCACAGATTATGAATCTGAATTATGGAGAATATGCTATTGGCAGTCTTCACAAGGAGGCTAAGTGGGCATAGAACATAAACCACATTCCCTGTTCTGGATTTAGTGTTTCCAAAATAGACCTGTGACAGAAGTAGACAATTAATAGAGCATTAAGAGAACAAGAGAACATTTACCTGTGGGACTGCAAATTGTTTGGGTTCCTGCCCTGTATCCCCTCTTCTAGAGTCTCTCATCTAAGAATGTCAGCAAAATTTCTTTTGTAGTAACTTTGAAAAGGAGGAATTTTTATTCATTTATATTTTAACTTTGTAGAGCTATGTATGGTAAATAAATTCTGAAAGAAATATCTAGCTTTTTAGACATTTATTTGTATCCTTACTGGTATTCAGCTCAGTGCCTTCAGTCCTGCCTTCTATCTCTGGGCAATCTGATACTCTGAAATGTTCTGTACAGCTCAGTAGAAAAAGGAATTTGCTTTGTCTAAGTCATTTAATAGCTTTTAAATCCCAATGGATTACAAATTTGCAGCGTACTGTATGCTGGCTGTATCTTGATCTCCAGGACTTAAATGTGCTTTGAATTGTTCCTCAATAACTATGAATAGAATTGTTAGTTAAAGCCAAAGCCATATGAACAAGTTGTCTTGCAATAGGAATAGAGGGATGAGGTTAAATAAAATGTGGATTGTGGAAACTCTTAAAATTTGCAAGTTAAGTTTTGCAGTAGCCTTGATGCAGTCGCTAATGGATTGCATCACTGAAACACAGTAAACACTTCCCTAAATATCATTCCTATAACCATGTTTAGTCCTAGGAAAAATAAGCTAGTTTGGAAGGCACCACACGATGAAGCCACACGCTGAGAGTCTGCTGTGATGTGCTGCTGTGGCACTTCCATGAGGCACAGGACAATTCTTATAAGGGGATAGATGGTACCATTCCATGAGCTGGTGCACTGATAAACCAGAAAACTCTGAGAAACTGTAGTTTAAATAAAAGATCTAATCCTCTTATTCTAGATATGGGAGACAATCTAAACTATGTATATACAGATAGTCTAAAAAAAGAATCTGTGCACAGTAGAGTGCTTCAGTAGAACTTATTATCCCATGAATGGAGGCCTTGTAGGTAATTCCAGGTTTATCCTTCAGAATGCTACAAATGCCCTTACTGGTGGAAAGAATCTTAAACAACCTACAGATATAAAAAAGCAGATCATAAAACCAGTGTCTGTCATCAAACTGTTTATTGAAAACAGCTTGACTCAGCAGTAGCAGCACCTTTTCCTTGTTTATATCATAGTGACATTGGCTGCTTAGTGTTTCCATAAAATGAACAATATTGAGAAAACTATGTATCTCAGTAAATTCAGCGCCATAAAAATGTCCATTTTCAAGAGATACTATTTAAATTACTTGAAAACTTCATGATCTTTGTCTAAAACTTATGTTTTGTGTCTATCATTGCAGCATTCATTAAGTTGAATCAGCTGTTGTAGAGGCAAAGTAGATGACCACAGTAAGATTAGAGGTGGATAAAATTCTAATTTTTTTTTATATATATAGAATCATAGAATCAACCGGGTTTGAAAAGACCTCTGGGATCATCAAGTCCAACCCTTGATCATCCAACACTGTCATGATTACTAGACCATGGCACTAAGTGCCACATCCAGTCTCATCTTAAAAACCTCCAGGGACAGTGAATCCACCTCCCTGGGCAGCCCATTCCAGTATCTGATTACTCTGTCTGTAAAAAATTCCTTCCTAATATCCAACCTAAACCTCCCCTGGCAGAGCTTAAGACCGTGCCCTCTTGTCCTACTGGTGGGAGAAGAGACCGACGCCCACCTGGCTACAACCTCCTCTCAGGGAGTTGTAGAGAGTGAGGAGGTCTTTCCTGAGCCTCTTCTCCACGCTAAACAACCCCAGCCAGACCAGTTGTCTTCCCCGCCGGCTCACCTTTTGGCACACTGGGACAGCCTGCTCCTGTGTGTTCAAGACTTCCTTCTTGAAGCATGTCCATTCCTCCTGGGCCCCTTTGTTTTCAAGAGCTGTTCCCCAATGTACCCCTATATATGTATATATACACATGAGTACTAAGAAGTACCAGGTTCCATTTCTTCTTAACAAACTGAGAAGTAGCTTTTTTTCATAGTAGGAATCAGATTTGTATTTTAAGGCTACTCAGCCGGTGGGGTTGTTGCCATTAAACCCTTAATTAAATGAAAAACGAGAAAAACTCATTTACTTGAGTGGTACAAGGTCAGAACACTTACAATAAATGTCTAAAAGAAGAGATGGAATTGGCTAAAGTTATTCTTCACGTTCCTCTTTGGCTTTAGTATGGTCTGCTTGGAACAGTTCTACAAACTGCAATAGCATCTGCAGATAAGCATATGTCCATCACTTAATTCATGAAAGGCTCATTTATTTACTGGTTCAGCTGTCTAATATCTATTGCCAAATTGCCATGCAAGGTTCTTGTGCATTTACCCTTTAGTGCTTTCAGCTGTTTTTTCTGTATTACCATAATATTATTCCTTCCAAGATGCTTGTAATAATTTTTAGTGTTTGCAAATGACTTAATGTGGTGCTAAGCCTTTTCAGATACATATCACTAGAGTAAGATACTGCTTGAGGCAGACAAATTAGTCTTATAATCTAGATCCTTACTCTATAATTATCCAAACCAAATGCCATCCTAACATTCCATCATATCGTGCCCTGAGGGTAGGGGTGCCTAGTATCTCTGTTGTGATGATTGGTACACTCTGGTTTCAGGTCTCTGATGAACTCAGTAAAGCTAGTTACCTTAACATGAGGAGCGTTTTACCTTCCTAAATGACTGCTTTTCAAGCTAACAGCCCTTTCTTAAAATAGATGAATTTGCAGAGATGCTTCAGCTGTACCCATACTTATCCCCATCTGCAAACAGAGCAACTTATGCCTTTACCTGCAATCCATCCTCTGCAGGTCAACAGGATCCCTGCCCAGAACCACTTCCAATACTTTCTTCTCTCTCCTCCTTTTCCTGGTGCCTAGAATTAAGGATTTCACTCCACAGCTTTGCCATATCCGTAGCTCTTCTTACTTGCTTTCAATTCAATAGGAGAATTTGATAAAACTAAAGTTTAGCAAGCTGTTCCTTGTCACTGTACAAGCACTGAGAAAAGAGCCCAGCAAGCTGCAGATCAATTGTTCACATAAATTGGGTCAAACCCAACAATAGTAAAAATGTTATTTTTAACAAAAGGTTGCATTTTTAAGAAAAAAAACATTTGGGAAAATTCAGTCCGTGTCTTCTTAAAGTATGTCTAGAATTTACAAAATTCAGTTCCAGGGAAAATTTTTGTCATCATCCACTGTCCTTCATTATTCTGTTTCTGAAAGATCAGAAATTAAATAGTCTAAAAAAGTACGTAAGAGTAAAGAAGGCCAAAGGGAATTTCATATTGACAATTGGGATATATTTTATTGTTTTAAACTATTTGAATTAAATATTTTTAAAACTATGGCAATCTGAAATAGCAAAAGAAGAGGAATTCCAAATATCTGACAATTTCAAGTAGCTGAAGTCTAACCTAAATACCCGGGTGAAACACCTAGTAAATACAAACTTGCTTTATATATCTTAACAGACACTGAAAAGCAAAGAGAATTTGTCAGAAATTTCATAGTAGCCTGTGTTTTGATTTCATTCATACAAAAAGTAACGTGTATATGACCTCTGCAGATCAATGGAATTAGTTCTGCTTTTCATCTCTGCAACTAAAAGCAGACTTAGTTATTCTCCATGGAATGGAGAAAAATGCTCATGGTTGCTTTTGTGATTGTTTTTTCCCTGCAAACCTAAGTATCTGCATTTGTGTGCAAGTTTTGTCTTTATGAGTAGATCTTTTGTCAGGAGATGCATTGACAAGCAGAATCTAGCACAAAATTGCTTCTATTCAAGAAATCCTTTGCACCTTCATCAGCATCTGGGATAAGAATTTTGAACTCGTCAACATGTATAGAATGAATGGGAGGTGGACATCCACATCTCAGATGCAGAGTTTACTCAGATGGCTTAGCAGTTGTTTTGGAAAATGCCATGTTGATTAGTATTTTTTTTAATTACTGATATTTAATTACTATTACAGACATTTACAGCCTGGTGCAATTCCCATCTCAGGAAAGCAGGCACACAGATTGAGAACATTGAAGAGGACTTCAGGAATGGCCTCAAACTGATGCTCCTCTTGGAAGTTATCTCAGGTTAGCTAAAATAAAGTTTTCTATGTATTTACAGCACACTAACTGAAACACTCTTAAAAGAACAAAAATTGTTAACAATATAAAACAGTAAACACAAAGTAAACTGAAAAGTGAGAGATGAAACACACTGTAAAACAAAAGGGGGGAAAAAAAGCTCTGCTTTCTCCTTGTCTCCAAAATTTTCTGCTTGGTGCTTGTGTATCAAGGTATCATTGATGTTGTTGGACAAACCAAAAACAATGAGGACCTTGCCTTAGCCCCTAACGATTAAAAAGCCGTTACACTTAGGTTACAAATTCATTTTATTCTGCTTGTATTATAAAAATTTTGCTTTGCTTTTAATGAATTCATTGGATGGACCAATGCTTTCAAAAGTGAGTATCTAAAGCAAAACTAGATCAATATTTAGTCATAAGTAAAAGGTCTCATTTTTCAAAAGAGTGGAATATCCAAGAACTTTTGACTGACTGATGTAAACTGACTATGTCACCTTTTTTATGTGTTATTCAGAGAGGCAGTCCCCAAGGTGCACTCAGAATTCCCCTGAATGGGAAGGGAATAGCTCAAGTCACAGACAGACAATAAAGGTGAAAAGGGGCAAAAAGATTTCTAACACATCTTTATGGAAAATACAGCTTACATTTTTGCTGGAAATTTCGGTGGGGAATGAAGATCTTCAAAGGATCATTGGTCTTTTTAGAAATTATTCTGCTTTGGGATCATTTGAAAAGAAAAGTTTGTTCAAACACATCAGCCAATGCTCTGAAATGAGCTGCTCTGCTGTGCTGGATGAAGTTGTTAACAGCCTTTGTTTTTGGTCAGATGTGGAAGAATGCTACAGCTGATCTGCTGGATAGAATTCAGCCTCTCTTTGCAGCTGGGCAGGTACGAATGATGAGCTCTGAGAACATCCTGCCTTCTCAATATTCAGCTACTCTAACAGACAATAGCAATGAACCATACGTTGAGTAGCAGGAAGCATGCATGTATCTTCCAGATGTTTAGGACAAACAAAAATTTTACTCTGGTTTTACTGCTATATCAGAAAGATCTAAGTGAGATGCTTCAACATTTGAATTTTCTCTTTAGGGTTTTGTTCAAACCCCTTTGGCATTCTTTCAAAAAAATATCTGTTAAAATTACTGATAAATTTAGGCAGTGTTCAGGCCACATCCACTCTTGATTTCTAATCACTTGTGTGTCTGTAGCAAGGTGTATGTAGCAATAAACACATTAAATTTGTTCTTCTGCAGGGGAAAGACTACCGAAACCAGACAGAGGGAAGATGCGCTTCCATAAAATTGCTAATGTCAACAAAGCTCTGGATTATATCGCCAGCAAAGGAGTGAAACTTGTGTCAATTGGTGCAGAAGGTATGTGACAGAGCTTGACAGTGCAGTTTACTTAGGTCCTGAGCATTCCCATGGCAAAAAAGTCTGATGAGACCCTTGGTCACATTATGTGGACTGTTTTCTATATATGGGTGACTCAAAAATCCCTCAATACTGATTGCTGACCTATAACTGTGAAAGGACAAGACATGGAAATTTGTGGACACCTGGAGAGGGATAGGGGTACAAATGAGCTCTAAGATTACTTTATCTCCAAGATTAAGTTGAATTGTCTGTGTTTGAGTGGGTATTGAGATAATGATTTTTTTCTTTCAGAATATTGTTTGTCCTACATTATTGAAAATAAGGAACTCCTTTAGAAACCAGGTTGGATTTAAGGGTGTGCTTTATCCAATATGGGATCTTTTTTATCTTTAGGAGATATTATTAAGACAAGACAGAGGCTGACATCACTACCAAGTGGCTGGGACCTACTCCCATTTTTTTTATGAGACTGACTGCAGCTGTGTTTCTAAAATTCAAATGCAGGGTTAAGGGAGTGATCGAAAGAAACTATGGTGTCTAGGGAGAGACTGAACTTATGAAGAAAGTGGAGTGGGATGCTATTTACTAAAGTAATTACTTTTTTATTGTTCTGTTGTAGCTAAATACAGACATGTGGTTGGTAGCCAGATGCAGATAGATGTAAACTGAGCTAAAGAGGGCAGACTATCACTGCCAGTGAACCTATGCCTCCCTAGAAGATTCAATTAATTGTTTAAAAAGGACAAAGATCTGTCTAGAACTAGTTGCTCCATGAAGATATTTGCATAATGCTTTGCATAGCCATTACCATACAAACAGTGACGTAGCTAGCATGATATCCAACTATTTTTGATTCCGTAGCCTCAGTGATGTGCTTTCTGTACCTTTTCTTTTCCAGACTCTAATATGTCCTTAAAGCAAACTTTTGGCTCTAACCTCAGTATGATGATGAGAAGTACTCCTATATTCTCTTCACATTGTTAGGCCTTTTTACATTGATTTATGAGCCTCTTCTTCCTGTTTCCTGATTCCTCCAGGCTTATATATATATATAAGCCTTATATGGGATTCCAAACCTTGATCTCAGGGAGCTTACTGTAATTGTGTCTGGATCAGGAGGTTCATTATGTGGGATAAGGGCATCTGTAGAAGTAATGGAGAGATATGTGAGCATTTATTGATTCCACAGGAGTTTGACCTAGCCCACTTCATTCCATGAGTATTGTTCACCGAATGTGTTCGCTTTCTAGATCTAGAACTCAAAATCTCAAGAATTGGATTTTCTGGACAAAGTGTTTTTTTGAACTCACTCTTTATTTATTTGAGACTGAACTGGGTGGGCCATCTGAGTCCACATCCATGCCATCTATCTATAGGCATGTAGCAGAGACCTTTTTTGGGGAGTATGTCACCAGTGGGGAGAAATGGGCAATTTCCAAAGGCACTTCAGATCTCAGAAGAGCTCTACTGCATTTCAGAGGAGCCTGGCTCCCTCCATCAGATGTACCGGCAGTCAGGGGCACTTGGGCCCTTTGTTCAATTAAAGTGGGATGAAAAAATATGCTGCTACCTTAAACCTCTGCAGCTAAGGTTCTGAGAGTGACAAGGCATTGAATGGACAGCAGAGGGTACTGAAGAGACAATTTGTGGGTGGAAATGAAAATTAAGAATACAGAAGCCTGTTTGATATCTGATGAAGAAATGCTGAGATTACAGAGCATGGAGCAAATGAACAGTAGTTTCTGTCTTGACATGCAGGTGGCTCTGAGGCTTCCTGACCAAAGAGTGTAGCAAAGGGAGTATCCTGTGGGACACAGTGGTCATGTTCTCTGATCACAGTTTGCACAAGGCTGGAATATTTAAACCAAGATACACCAGTTCATATCTGCTTCTGAAAGGAGCAATCCAGCCCTCTGCACTCCCATCTCCCTTATTTTACTCTGCTTATTGCTGCCCAAGGTGCTCATTGCTGCTCAAGGTGCTCAAGGTTAGGGAACAGTGCTTGAGCACTTCCTGTATCACCTGAAGGCACAGCATCTGGGATAGCTCACAGCAGACACTGAAAACATTTAAAATAACCCTGCAGTTCTCCTTGACAGCAACTGGCATGAATTCAGATGCTCTGTGATTTAGATGTTCTGTGATGATTCCCTTTGGAAAGGTGGAAGGGGCAGTAACCTCTGCAGCTTTTCAGCCAGTTGCTGCAAGGTTACCGTCCATGCGCTCAGTATTTATTGCTGCATGTAACAGCAGGCTATAGCTAGTAACCCAAGGGATTACAGTGATGTTTTTAGGGTTTATTCTCTATTTATGGAATTCTCAATCTGTAAAATGGAGGGATTAGATGCAAAATTAATTCATTAGCATTAAGAAAAATTAAAATAGTTAAATTCTTGGATGGAAGCATGGGAGAAAAATCCACTGCTACTTTCATAGCTTAGATGAAGAGGGGAACCTGTCATTGTAAGACATTACACTATGTCAAGTATGGCTTGATGCCCACATTAGATTATATCCATGTGGGCAGGAGCAGATAGATTCGTGTGCCTTCTACTCCTACTCTAAAGAGGCTGAATACAAAGCCAGATATGGCACAGACGTGCTTAGTGTCCTGTTAAGTTTACTACATCTCCTCTAATAAATTTGTTATCTAAGGCACAGTGTGGTGCTGATGCAGCAATACAGTGTCATGTCTGACTGGGTATGGTTTCACAGTGTGGGACCTCTGGCACCAGTATGTGTTTAAAGAGCCCCTGTGCTCCCTGGTCCTACATACTTGCTCCCACACTTCACAGCCCTACCCTATCACTTGGGCTGGCAACTGTTGCTGTAGCTCTGCTGGAGACTGGATCAGCAATCTGATCAGGTTTTAAAACACACTTCACATCCTTTTTTTCTTTTGTTGCATTTTTCAGCATTGTTGACTGGGTTGTCATTGCAGTAGGTTGGAGTGAATGCCAGCAAGGAGGCAGAACACAGTGTCCTTAAGATTGTATTTTTATCAAAGTCCATAACCACTTAACTCACTGCCTCTGTCTGTGAGCACAGGGCATGTGGGCTGGCCCACACCCATCTGTTTTGGCATTCTCTGAGTTACGTGGATGCTTGGAATACTTTTTAATTTCCAAAGCATAAAAGTTTTGTATCTAAATCTGCTAAGGATCATTTTCTACTATCTGATATACTGAATGGTGAGGAGCTTGTAGGCCCAACGGGAATGACTGTCATTTAAAATGTGGCCTCAAAACAATGATTAAACTGTGATTCCTGTGCTACATCAATACAAAGACCAATTTAGTATTTTTAAGGGGCCAGGGACATTCTTTAAAGTCATCATTATTGTTCTGAGCCTGACTTCTTTGGGCTATCTGTGGAGTGGAGAGAGCTGATCACCTTTAACTATGATGCTGAGATGAAGCCAAATTTAGCTACTCTGATCTGTCTTGTGTATGGGTCTTTCTTTCCACTGGTCACGATATGAGACTAGAGAATCAAGAAGCTAAAGTAAAACTGTGGAAAGTAGTCCTTATGAGCCATTCACAGTCTGGAAATTAGAAGTTTTCCCTTAAGGTTTAATAAAAGTGCAGAAACGCTATTTGTAAGGTGATTGCATCCTGAATGAAATCAAGTAAATATGGAGAACGACAAAAGATCTGTATCCTGTTAATTGGAAACATTTCTGTATTGCTTTTCTGGGGAGCAGGAAAAATGTTAAAGACTGAATGAATCTGCTGCAAGAAGGTTGGAATAAAAAAAAAAAAGGATAAGTAGAATAAAAAAATGGAACTAAAACCTTTGAGAACTTACCACTCTGTTTTGCTTAGCTTTTTCCCTAGACAGCTTTTATTGTTTTCCCTTCACTTTCCCTTCTCTCCTTTCCTGCCCTCACACTCAGAAAGCTGTATCTTTGCATATGTGAGGTGTAGAAACTATATTCCTTCCAGAGGAAACAGGCAGTATTAAGAAATTAATGAAGTCTTCTACTGACCTGTAGAGGAAAATGATAGGAATGAATCAGTATTTTTTTTGTCATTGATACTTTTCAACATTTTAGCAATTTGTTTTTCTTCACTCTCTTTTATATGAGCCTTTTTTGTGTTTTATGCCTGCAGCAGATAATGAGAAGCCAAAGCTGACAAATCACTTGAAAATTCTCCCGAGGCACAGCATAGAAAATTCCCTCTCTTGCTCTTTCATTCAGTCTGTGTGTACATATGGATATGTAAATCAAAAAAACGATGTAGTGATTATGTAAATCCACGAGTTGATTGCCTGACAATCAGCAATGCCTCCTGAGTATTTAAATTATTTTAAATTTGAAGAAATTTGTCTTTTCTGTAAATACTTATCGGATATTAAAATACAATGAAGTACTTGACCGAAGAGGAGGGAAGAAAGAGCTACATGCTCTAATTGCCATTTAGTCTTTTTTGTCTGAAAGGGTTTAGTTTTGAGATGTGAAATGATTGAGATCTTTTAGGGCCAATAAGGTAGGATACATGGAAGCCTGGCAGAGTGAGGTGAGAATTCTGGAAAATTAGTGCATGATCCAAAGGGGAAAGCAGAAAAATAGCCATTCATATATAAACTTGAATTATCACACTTACTAAGTATAGACTAGCGATGGGTGACATATTTCCTATCACATTTGTTAATTCCATAGGTTCAAATGACAGCTTGTGTCACGTCCTACTGCAATTCAGCATGAATCTCAAGTCTCAGAAACAGCAGCTGCTTTGTTCTGTAAAAGTTGCCCCTGGATTCAGGCAACTTCTAAGTAGCAGAGTGACTGCATTTTCTGCTGGCATCTCTATTGGCATTTGATGTTAAATTGAGGAAATTCCTCCTGATGCAAGCTCCTTCCCCAGAACACCAGTGGGCCCCCAGGCAGCCACAGCTGCTCCACTTTTTGAGAAAGGCTGGAGGTGACTTTCAAGTAGGGGAGCAGCTGGTGCCTTCCCCCCTCCACTGCTCCTTTGGTATGAGGTGACTGGAAAGTCAGTCTGCAGTTCCCATCTCTCATTGTCCCACCTCCTCCCTTTCCAGTGGTGGACCTTCATTATAGTCTCACTATGTTTTTCTGAGTCTCTTGACTTGCTTTTCAGATTGATTTAACATTACCAACATATTTAAGTGGTCTGGCAGTACATTTTTTGGTGTTGAAAAATTTAAGTGGTATCACTTAATTACAGTGTAGGAGCACTGGATTTTGACCTGGCTTTACAGGTAGTCCCAAGCAGTCTTGAAACAAATTGAAACCGCAGAGGTAAAAAAATCTCATTTATATTAAAGACATGTAAATATGCATATGCATTAGAGCTGTAAGACATTACAACCTCATGGCCATGTTAATGAACAGGCAGGAAGCTATGTAGCTTTGTCTCAGGAGGTGCTGTGTCTCAAGAGCTGTTCTTCATATCTAGTCTGTGCTGGCATTATAGGTAAATTCTCAAACATATCTAAATAGTATAGGGGAATTTCTGAGTACTGTTAGTGTCCTGTAGTTTCTTAAAATTTGGGGTAAGATCATATTTTTTCAGTTCCTTTGTATTTGAAAGCAATAAGGCTGATATTGTTCAAACTTACAGTATTTCCCCTCATGCTCTCTCTAAAAAGTCTCCCTAAAAGGTAAAGATTTGAAACAGTTACAACTACCTGGGGAGCAGGCTTTTAGCATGGAAGGGCTGAAGTGGTCTTAACCTCAGTAGTCTTCAGTCCAGAGTAGCACAAACAGTAGTTTGTTGAAAAATGAATCCAGGTGAACTCTATGCGAATAAAAAATTATCATAGAAATATAAATAATTTATTAGATGCAATGGATTACTAGTAGAAATCTATGATTAAAATAAGATAAAATTGGAAAAAAACACTCTAAATACTACTGCAATATGTTTTTTTTTTACCTTAGAAATTGTGGATGGCAATGTGAAAATGACGCTGGGTATGATCTGGACTATCATCCTTCGCTTTGCTATTCAAGATATTTCAGTGGAAGGTAATAGTAATGCAATTATGTTAAATAATTAGGAAATCTGTTTTAAAACTTTTTTATATGAATTGTGCATAAGGGAGAGGAGTGTTTTAAAAATAAATTTTTTCACAGAAGATGATACCGCATCTGGTATCATCATTTGCTACCTGGTGACAAAATTAACTTCGGGAGGGAAAAAGTAATTACTCTCCTTATCCTGACAGAGACTTTGAGCCAGCTTTCTAAATGCAGAGGTTCTGGTCATGTCTCTCAGTTGAAGGGACAGAAACATGACTATGTTTCTGAGCTTCAGTGTCCTGAAACTAATTGCTGTATCCTTTGTGTTTGGTCCTATTTCCAACGTACTTTTTTCAGTCCTGAACTTAAACTACAAGCATGTTTCATGTAAGCACCAAGAATCTTTTATGTCTAGTTGTATTATATTTGTATTGGGTATTTTTCTCCAAATATACAGTCTGCTGTCCAACCAATATAATTCCTTAAATTTCTAACATCCTGAAACTTTTGTGCAGGCTGACTCTAGTCTTAACTGAACTCTGTGTTCTAATGGATCCCCAGTTGTCCATTTATATGAGTATCTTTTAGGATTAAATGTTAGTTTATGGCAGTTTATGGTGGCTGACTATTAGAAATTAATTACTTGGGTACTTTTCACATCTTTCCTCATTTTTACTCCCTTGTGTCTTTTACAGAGACCTCTGCCAAAGAAGGGCTGCTGCTGTGGTGTCAAAGGAAAACTGCTCCTTACAGAAATGTGAACATTCAAAACTTCCATCTTAGGTAAACTTTTATTATTTCAAGACGTTGACACGATCTAAAAAATTTTACATCAAATTTTCCCCACAGTTGTGTAGGTATATAGTTGATAGGGGGATTTGGGTCTTCACTGTCAGCTAGACTTTTTTTCAGATTCTGGTGCTCTATCTTCAGTCTTATTTTGGTTAGCCTTTGGCATTATCTGCTATGACTTCCATAGTTACTGTTTAAAAGAAAAAAATCCTACTACATACCCAATTACCATACTATGTTATTAGAAGTCCTTGGTATATGGGAATTCTTGAGTACTACATCATAGTGGCAAATGACTGCTTTCAAATGAGAGCCACTGCAGAGAGCCACAGAGAGACTGTTCTGGCAAAAATACCAGTGTGTTGAGCATGCAAATATCTCATGGAGAATCAGTCTTTCTCATTTGTAATGTAACTGTAAGCAAAGAGCAAAAAATGCACTTAGATCATACACAACAGCAGCAATACTTTAAACACGTTTGTTTTCAGAATCAGGATCATGACCTAAGCTGGAAAACTTAGTAAAGCTCCAGACTTGTGGTTCTCATTAAGAGTTAGAATGGGAGTTCCAGGCCATATACAGGCTGCCTGGTTTGGGGATTTCCTTGGGCTAGTTCCTGAAGCTCTACCAGTGACCTACTTCATTAAACTACATGGCTTGCCATTTGCACTGTTTAACCATGTGATCTTCCCTTTCCTGAAACCCTTCTAGTACTTAAAAAAACTCTTTAATAGTGTTCTGCTGTTTTTAATTATTTCTTAATGTGCAGTACCTAAAACACATGTAGTGACAGAGAAGATACAGTTCATATATGCATTCCAAGATAAAAAATATTTCATTTACAGTTCCTGTATGGCCTTTCAGAGATCTGAAATTTGTTATGTGTTACTTTCCCAGAATATACAAAGGTATATTTCATAGAGCTTTATATGGATCCAGGGTACACTGTAAGTTACAGTACCAGAATCTTGTTCTGTATATGTACCTATTCTGGTCTGATACATGATATGGGGAAAACACATTAAATGGAAGTACCTTGATTAACGCTTGGGTGGATCAGCTCTTACAAGACTACCTTACAGCAGGCTGTCCAGATCGTTTTAGTTTACACCTTTTGGAGAAAGAAAAATTTGTTAGTTTGGTTCTCAGTTTGATTAAGTTTTACCTTCTGGATGATGTCATATTATACAATATAGGTATATTCTGCTTATTGTATTACATTTTTATTGGAGATGGTTCTGTTATTTGAAGGACCTACCCAGACATCTCAGTGACAGGGATTTTAACAGCCTTAACATGCTTAGGCTCACACAAGGACAAGACCTCAAATTACAGACCCTGTGATTGCTTGAAGTGTTTACATAAAGTATCTTTCAGAATAATTGCTTATGACTGAAAGAAACCTCTCATAATCTTTCCAAATAAATATTATTTGTATCTCCATTCATTGTCTGTTCCTGCCTCAAAAGATAGCAAGTCTGAAGTAATGATGAAGTGTAAGAACTCAGATCAAAGCTGTGATAAGTGAGAAGTGTTTTAAATAAACTGAGCTGATTTATGATTTCTTACTTCTCAAAGCACATGGTTGTGCCACTAAAATTCTCTGAAATAACTGACACAAAAAAAGCCAATTGCTCCAGAAAATTCAAGTAATTGCAGGTTTGCTCTTCTTTTTATTTTTTCACAAATATGCTCTAAGTGTAATGGGAGATTATGTTCTTTCATTGATGAACGTGTACTTGAGCTATCCTAGAACACTGCATGAATTAAGCAATTGAAATCAGGTACAGTTGCACAAAATGTACACTGCCTTAGAAAGTATATGGAGTTCTTAAGTGTATATGGACTGTAGAGTAAGGTATGTATTACAACAAAAGGAGCACAGTAACAGAACAGCTCAGAGGGATGAGACTTGACAGAACATAAGTGTCAGGATTAGACGGGAGAATTCCTTCTTGATTTTAAACCTTGAGCAAGGATCAAACTGTAAAATGCCATGACTTTATTAACTAATTTTTTATTTTTTTCCATTTTATTTTTTTGTTGTAAAGCTGGAAAGATGGCCTTGGATTATGTGCACTTATCCACAGACACCGACCTGATCTTATTGACTACTCCAAGCTAAATAAGGTCATCAGTCTGGGTGGTACAGCATGCTGTCCTGCAGTGATTTGGCTTGCTTCTGGTTTGCTTAGCATGTTTTCTAGAAGACAGGCTGATGAATGCATACTAATTCTAACTGACTTTCTAAGGTCCTTCCAAAGAAACCCCACTGACATGGGGGAGAGGACCTTGTCCTTCCTTCCTTCCCATTACAACAACTTCAGCATCTAATTGCAAATAATCTTGTCCTCAGCTGTTGGGCAGTTGATGAAGTCCTTTACACTGCCCAATAGAGATGTTAAGTAAAACACATGGAATTATCCATTTACCACTGATAGTATTGTACAGTCCATCCTGTTTAGTATCTAGTGTAAATTACTGTAGATTACAGATCAGTAAACAGTGACATGATGATTGAATTCCTTAGAACAAACACTACCCTTGATAATTAGGAGTACATGCTGAGTTATTAGTCTTACATAGAAAATATTCACCAATTCTCAGATTAACTTCTACCTATAGTTCCAGACAAGTGGAAACAAAACTGATATCCTAACTTCCTTAGGTAGTACCTCATGGGGATTGCAAAACTATTTTATTACAGTGTGCTACTCATGGCAAAGTGCGTGTTTTCTAAAGATACCAGCCACTTTCGTTTGAGAGGGAGGAATGAGGAACAAACAATAATGTCAGAATTTCTTCTTCTTCAGAATCATCATTAATGAAGAATAAAACATAAAAAGAAAGTGGAATGTTGTTGTTTTACATTAGGTTTCAATATATACATACCATTTTCTGCTCTCTGGAATGAATGCATCTTCAGGTCTCACATAAACACCAGTACAACAGAAAACTTAATCATTGATTTTAATCTGTTGAGTGCAACTTCGCATTGATGAGACTGGTAAAACATCAACTGTATTTTCCATTCCATGTCATTACAAATTGATTTTACTAGTGGAATCAACTGTTACTAGAAAGTCTTTGATGAAACAAAAGATAAATGAATAAAGTGAAATTATTTTAAAACTTAGTTTGCTTTATATATATGTTCAATTTATGCCAGAGTCCCCAAGGTGTGCAGTGATGAAAATTAAATGAACTTAGTACTGAACACATTAGATTTTAATTTAGGTAGCTGTTAGGATAACTGCAGATCTGAACCAAAGGGCAAAATATTAGCCATCAATACCAGCTTGTTCTCTAATTCTATATACAACCTTTCCTACAAATAAACAGATTAATGGAATGACTAAGCTACCTGTCTCTGTGCTTATTATGCATGGCACAAAGAGAAGTTTGTTTGATTGAATTTGTGCTTTGAAAAGTGGTACACAGTCCTAAAGAACTTCACAGTATAATGATCCTGTAGACAAGTGCTGAGGAAAGGGAACAGAACACAAGCAGGTCTGCCTCAACATTACTATTTCCCTCTTAGAGATTTCTAAAATAAGAACAGGTCAGGTTTCAAATTGAGACTGAGCTGTGGCACGTAAAGCACATGCAGAAAAAATCCTAAAATAGATCTTGCTTTCCTGACCTGGCTGTGTTTGATTGACTGCTCATTTTGGTTACATTAACAGCTGTCTTGGTGTCTTGTTTCTTGATTTCTTATCTCCTGCATGCTGTCCTTTCCTTTTCACACCAATGCTTTTTGTGTGAACTTGTAGCTGGAAAGATGGCCTTGCTTTCAACGCCCTTATCCATAGACACAGGCCTGATCTTCTTGACTATGACAAGTTAGATGAGGTATTTCTTTAGCTGTAGCAGAGATTTTTAGTTACTGTGGCTTGTAGTTTTTTTAAAAAGGATGGGTGATGGAGATCTCCAATTATTCAGAAGCTGCTGTGATTTTAAAGAAGTGCTTTAGCAGTGGAGCACTATTTACTGATGGACTTAGTACCAAGCACACAAATATGAGGTGCTCATCACTCATTCATAAGGAAAGTTTTTTAACCTAGTCAATAGTCTCACTTAGATTTACTGTATTTTTTACTTTGCTTTTCTGTGTCCTATTTTCCCAGACTGTCTCTGTAGACATGGGCATTGTTCAGACTGGCTATAATACTTCACCAGTTTGCAAATATGTGAAAATAATAATAGCATTTATGGCATGAACTGCCATTTCTCATAGGGTGTTTTCCCTCCAAGCTGATATGGGAAGGCTCCCTTAGTGGTAGGCCCAGTCTGACACACTCTTGCATTGTCAGCAACACCTGTCTGTAGTGTAAGACATGAAATGTCTGCTGTCTGTCTGAACTGTGCTCACTGTTTCCTTTTTTCTTTCCTTCGAAAACCAAAGTCTCAAAATCAGAGGAAGTGCTTGAATTTCCATGGCTCTAAAATTCAGTTTATAGAGGCATTACAGATTTTTATGTCCAAGCCCAAACTAGCAAGTTTTGTTCCTCCTGGAGAACTGTTCTGTCTGTGCTTGCTGCTTCTCATGTGTTCACCTGACCAATAGAGAACTCAGAAGTCATATGCCTGTAATATACTGTAGAGTTGGGTAAAAAATAGGCAGGACTAACTTTGTTTTGAATGATCTAGTTTAGCCTGCTGGACCAGTGGCCTTTACTGTATGTATTGCTGCTGTACTTAATTCAGAATTAGCTGAGAATGATGAGTGTACACTGCACACAATATCTACCTTCCTCTTCAGAATAGGTTTGCAGCAGAGTCCTAGTGGTAGATAACAGCCTATTAAAGTTTTCTTTGAAAAGTATAGCAGCAGATAGACCAAAAGTTCATATACCTAGACTCTGCTTTTTGAAGAACAGTAGTTGTGAATCCAGTTTACAGTTTGGAAAACCAGAATACGTTTTATTACCTACTGTAGTTTTGCTTCAAATAAAAACTTCTATCTTTGACTCAAACTTTTTTCTTTAATGCAGGATGACCCCATAGGAAATATCAACCTTGCCATGGAAATTGCTGAAAAGCATTTGGATATTCCAAAGATGCTGGATGCGGAAGGTGAGGGTTATATCTTACTTAAGTTTGTGTTGCTTATAAGCAGAACACAGTGAATTTTTTTTTTTAATCTAGCGAATTTTCAACATTTATTCTACATGAATCATAATGTAGCAATCTGCTTTGTTTTCAAGCAATATTTTCCTTCTTTTTCCCCATGCATTGGATAATTTCCCTCACTTTTTTCTTTGTTACTGATTGGTTTTTATCGTTTGCATTTGTTATACTACTTTGAACCCTAACCTCAGCACATGGCCCCACTGTGATAATTGAGGTAAAATGCAGGATCAAGTTAATCCTTGCCTTTAAGTAATTAAAATCTAAGTTTAATAAAGGTAAATATAACTGTTAGCAGCTCAAAGCATATTCACTTTGTAAAATGTTTAACTGAGAGGACCAGAAATACAAATAGAAGTACAAAACTTTCAGAATATCTGAAACACATACTGCGTCTGAAAGAGAGGTAGGTTGAGGGAAGCATTTTTTTGGTTTACTTTTGTTGTAAACTTTTTGCAGTGACAGTTTTAACAAATAGTTTGTGTATCTCCAATAATTTTTAGAGTTTCCTGACTTTTTCAAGATAACCGAACTTTTGTACTCTGGGCAAAAAATGCTGCCAAAATACTGGAATTTGCCTACAGTAGTTCAAAGCATTCATCTCAAAGAATGGAGACTGTTGTGCTGGCTTGTCAGTAGAGCAGTGATAACACAGGAACTATCCAGAGCACTCAAACTGGCTATGTCTGTTCCTCTTGAAGTCTTTGGTAGGAAAGTTAGGCAGGATGATTTGGAAAATCGAGACTGTAACCTCTTCGTTGAAGAGTGGTTTCACTTTCATGCTTCAAAACAAATTGTTTCCATATTTTGAATTGCAATTCCCCTTTCAAGCACCATCAATTATTTTTCTCTGAAACACTGTGCAAGGAATAAACAGAAGTGCTGCCTTCTTACCATTGAGCAGCTCCCACTTTCCTCAGTTTTTTCCCCTCTTCATAGTCCATATAAGAAACCCTTTATTTTCCTCACCAGATTTTCTGCACATTCTAGCCTTATCTTACTATTTTCCTCTTGGAAGGGGGAGAGGAAATGAAATTATATTTCTTCTAATACCCTCTAAGTATTCATGGTCACTTTTTATTCTCTTTACTTCCAGTTTGTTATCAGTGGAAACTTTGCAAAGTTTTGTTCACAGCTATGTAAAGTAGATGTAAAATCAGTAAATACATTGGTCCCGAACTTAGAAATCTCACTGTTAATATTAGAAATTGCCACCTCATTCCTGGGTCTTTTCATGTCAGTATCTTCCCACTCCTTACATTGACAGGAATCCTTGCAGCTTGCACTAGAATCATTCATTACTCAGCCATAATTGGTGTAAATCTACCTTTTTCTGCCTTTCTCTGTTACTCATTGAAAAGGTCAATTTTTACCCATGTACCCTTACCTTGATTGCACCCACTGTATATTTTCATTCTTTCCTGCCATGATAGGAGCAAAGATATCAGCCAGCCAAGCCAAACTCTCCTGTGATTTATGCTATTAACTAAAAAGATGGGCTAGCACAGGGATTACAAAACTGTTACTATCCAAGCTTTTCTTAGCACAAAATGTATTTCTGGACTGCAGGACTTCTATGCGTTTCCAATATATTTCAGTACCTCATCAGCTACAGGGTCCCTGTGCTGATACACACTGTGTGCATTTCTGTTTTGTGACTGTCAGTGGCTGCATTTAACTCTGGAATAATTCTAGTGATTTAGATGAAGTTGCTTTGGAGTGGCAGTGAAGCTGAACCCAGTAGATCTGCCAGCCATGCCATCTGCTTGGAAGTTTCCACAAACCAGAAGGTAGCAATACCCTTCTGTACAGTCTCAGCCTTCAGATGTTTTGCCATTTCAGAGAGAGTTGTATCTTTTGCATTTACTGAGCTCAAGTGGCTTTGCACTGATAACTGTAAACAGATGCAACCTGAATAATGGTGTATTTATTTGGAATCCTTACAGCACTGAGGTGGCACCATTAGCATAATCAGATGAAAGTACCTTGTGAGAATTTCTGAGCAGTTAACCCTCTTCTCTCTACACAGATGTAGTAAACACTGCCAGACCTGATGAAAGAACCATTATGACTTATGTTTCCTGTTACTACCATGCATTTGCTGGTGCTCAGAAGGTGAGATTGTAGATGGATCAGATCTCATCCTTCACCTTCTGTCTTGTTTCTTTCAGCAATTTTTCCTTTTCTGGTCTTTTCCTCGCTAGTTACTAGAACAGCATCTTAGAGCTGAGTTCGTATCCTGTTGCCTGATTTTCACTGTGAACCGCTGTCTTAGTAGAGCCAGTAGTAGTCTATCCATTTGTTCCATAGAAACAAACCTTCTTGTCTCATCTTTCTGTATATTTACTAATAATATCCAGTAGGTTTTTGACAGGTGGTTTCTGAATGGGATAGAGGACAATATCCTCTTTAAATAAACTTGTGTGCATTCATTGGAAGAACCATTAAAAATGCAAAATGAAAATAAGCTCATAGTGAAAAAACAATTTCAATAGCAGAATGCCATCCTTCTCTCTGCTGGATATTATTTCTGCTATAGATGTCCAAATCATCATAACAGATGCTCAGAAAATAAACCCTTCTCTTATGCTTTCAGGATTGTTTTTAAAATGTTAAATGCTTAATGGTAAGTACAACAGCAATATAAAATGACGCTACTATGCAAAACAGACACAGAAACATACACAGACATCTCAGACGAGCTCTGGAATTGTGTCCTAAAGAAAAGAAGGAAAATTTTAAAAAGCAAGGCACTTTGGAGTTGGGCATACATCAGGTATTGGCAGTATAAAGAATACTGATATATAATGCTGAAGTTATAACTAATCCACATGCAACTTCCAGAGAACGTCTCCTCGGATCAAAATGTAGTCTGTCTTTCCTGTGTCTAAGTCAAAACCCCCCACACATTCTAAGTCACTAGACATATGCATATCAGCCATAAGCAGACAGTCCTGGTAAAATTGTGGTCACTCCCCCTCTGACAATACTGCAGGATCAAGCTTATTAAAAAAAAAAAATCCTCCTCTTCATAAGAGCTTACATTGAATTTTTAGTGTACATTTTATTCTGTCAGCACCTGTCAATCTAACACTAAATTTATTACAGCTTCGTGGAGTTTCTAGAATTCAGAGCTATGGACAAGAAAACAGTCAGAATGACATAGAGTTGTACATTTATTTATTCATCCTGTTTTCTGCTCCTCGATTCTCTTTTTGCTTTGTTTCAATTTCTCCCCCATCTTGTAGATATTGTGAACACTCCCAAACCTGATGAGAGAGCTATCATGACATATGTGTCCTGCTTCTACCATGCTTTTGCTGGAGCAGAGCAGGTATTAATCAATTGTCCCTTCAGGTTGCTGTGTTTTTGATTGGTTTGTTTCGCATTTCCACTTGTTTATTAAAAAAAATCCTAATGTAGTACTATGTGGTTTTAATTAACAATTGCAAGTACTACTTGAGCACTAATACTTGATTTTAACCAGCTCTCTAACCTGTTTTAGTTAAATGTTATGTAGCAAGTTAACTTCTTTAATTCCAATGGACATTCCTGTTTCCAATTTTGAGTCTTTATTTGGTGATTACAAAGACTACTTCAGAAAACCTGTATTTGAAGATACTGTAAGATGGAGTTGTTGCTTGTTGCTACAACAACCTCTTATGCGTTTGCTGCATAAAGGAATGTTTGCTATTTGGAGATTGAGACTATTCTAGACTTACTCGTGCTGAGTAGTAATTTAGGGCTAGATTTTCAAAGATGCCTAAGGTGCAGAAAGGCACAGAAGACATCCAACACAGTATTTGTGCCTGATTCCCACAGAAGCCAACAGAATTATTTGTGGATCAAAGTACTGCATAAAAGGCATGAACATCAGCAGCAGACCTGTCATACAGGATGGGATTCTCACTTATAAATGTGGCATTTCCCACTGTTCTGCTTCATACTTTTCTACCCTACAAATGGACATAACCAAACTTAATGTGGAAAAAAACCCCAACAAACCCTTAAAAAAGTAGTTGATATTTTTCCTACATCCTCAGGACTTAATTTCCTTTCCTGTCTGGTAGGTCACCTACACCTTACGACAGCACAGCTCTACTGTTGCACCCTCTCGCTTCTCGTTATGAAGGTTTTGCTATTCGAGCAAAAGGGCAATTCCAAATACTCTGTAATACAGGAGTCTACACAGATATTTGTTTGCTTAAATGTACTCCAGGGTCACATTTGTATGAAAGTATAGCTCTGTGATCTCAAACTACTAATGTAAATTTTAAATATGGCAGAACTGCACTGTGCCTTCACATATAAGTTTTTCATGAGGCATGAAAAGATTTGCTGTCAGTGGTTGAGCTGCATTTATTCTCAAGGGTATATCTACATATGATGTGCAGATATAGAGTGGTCTGAGACTCCTGAATTCCATGTGGTATCTTTCCAGTGTGGCTAACAAATCTAATACTTTTTTGGTGTGATTTTAAAAAAATAACCTAATAAGATATCTCTAAGAATGGCCTAAGTTGTCTTTGAAAAGAAAAGATTTATTAGACAACTGTAATGACAGTGCAAAATTCCCCCTTGTGCAATAAGACTTTGTTGTACAACAAGGGGATGGACTTCTGTGCTGACCTGTGCCTTATTCAGGCCATTGAAATCTATGACTGCAGAAGGAGGGGAAATGAATATCTAAGTAACCTAGGAGCATGAATCAACAACTATAAAAGAATGTGATTTTTTCATTTGCAGCAGCTACGCCCTCTCTCTTTCTCCAAGGCTATACCTTTCTCAGAATGTGTTTATGACTATGTCCTGTTTATTTGCTGTGTTTTACAGGCTGAGACTGCAGCTAACCGGATCTGTAAGGTGCTTGCTGTGAATCAGGAAAATGAGAGGTTGATGGAAGAGTATGAGAGACTAGCAAGTGAGGTAAAGATGCTGTATCTGTGACGTGGTGACAATGAACTACTGAAAGCTGAAAGATTCATGCACGGTCTGGAAGAGTGGAGACACTATGAGTGTAAATCTCACAGTGGCAGGGTACAAAGCCCAGCTGCCCAAGATGTTAAGGTTTAGGTGACTCCTTTGCCAAAGACTTCCTGTGTGACCTCCAGCAAGTCAGTCAGTCTTGTTAACATGCCCAAAAGGTGTTTTGAGAACTGTCATCTGTCTGCTCCAAGACCAAGCTTCTTATCTCTGTAATCTTCAAAGACAGCCATCCTTGGCCACATGTGGAACATATCAGATCCTGTCACTCCAAGCAAGCCCATTGGCTTTGTGTACTGCAAAGCACACTGGGGAGGTCTGTCAGGGTGTTCACAATTCACTTGTGAGCACGGACAGCAGATGAATGAAGGACGCACACTGTGCTCCTCCTGTCCTTTCTTGGGAAATGGCAAATCTGAGTCAGAATTACAGATGTATAGTGAACAAGTGAGAGCTCTCTTGTCTTTTATGCATAACCTGCAAAAACATACTGAGATCACAGCACTACTGTCTGTGTCTACATTGGCACTAAAGGACATGAGAGTCAAGATTTTTATTTGACCTGAGTTACTTGTCTGGTTTCTGTCCTGATCCCATCACTTTTGAAAGTGGCAAGTGATTTTGGGTAATTCAGAATTTGAGTAATTAGCTGGAGACATGTTACATGTGTGTTCATCTTTCTGAAAATCGGGCTATTTCTAGAAATACATAGAATATCTGGGCAAGTTAGTTAGAAAAGTATTGTTCAGCTTTGAAAATCTTGTGGTTACTCACCATTAAGGCATCAATTCCAACTGAAGTCAATAATGTTAAAATGGAACAAAGTAATTAAGATTTGTGTGTCCGATATAATCTTTTTTGGTTGCTTTTCCATTGCCTTTGTATGAATTGTTTGTGTTGGTTTGAAAGCTTTTAGAATGGATTCGCCGGACAATTCCTTGGCTGGAAAACAGGACTCCAGAAAAAACAATGCAGGCTATGCAGAAGAAATTAGAGGATTTCCGGGACTACCGCCGCAAACACAAACCTCCCAAAGTCCAAGAGAAATGTCAACTGGAGATCAATTTCAACACCCTGCAGACAAAACTGAGAATCAGCAATCGTCCAGCTTTCATGCCATCGGAGGGGAAGATGGTTTCAGTAAGTAAAGGAGGCATCAATATTCTGTTCACTTTATCAATGATCCCCCAAAAATGTCAACGTGAAGGTTTGATGTTCAGAAACATCAGTTTGTTGCACTTTTGCAACACCAAACCACCCTTTTTACATACTTCCTTTCATTCTAGAATCTTCCTTTGTATTAAGCATGCTCCTGCCTCTTTGAAGGCTTTCCTAAGAACAAATTGTCTTGAGATGCAAGATGGGAATGTTATCAGTACTTCTCTGTAAGTGAGGACAAATATTGTTTATGTAAGCAAAACTCACAGTGGTTTCACTGACATTTTAGTCACCAGACCTACAGAAACTGACATTGCTCAATGTATGTTTCTGCTTTTTTCTCCTTTTAAAAATTCTATTGTCTTCTTTTCTTATGTCTGTGAAGATAAGAATAGTCAGTACCAAGAATCTTCATCTGCTGATAAGTGCTGTAATTTGACTGTAGGTCAAAACATTTCCAGTGGAATATAGCAAACCTGTTTCTGTACTCTGTTCTATCTTTGTGTTTTGGTTGTTCATAAACAAGTGATTGCACTATCTGAAAAGAGCCATTGTCCACCCCCCAAATGCAGAAAATAAGGTCCCTGTTACTTCAGTTTCCTACTTACACCTTTGAGTTTCCGAGGAAGCTCACAAAACTTTGTGCACCACAGAAACTGGTAAGATAAGCACCAAATCTTCTTGATACTAATTGTTTTGCTATTGTCAACTTGTGAAAGCAAAGCACTTTTATTTTGATAACAGATAGGTTTGTAATAAAAGAACACACACATTGTAAAATGGGAGATAAAAACAATATATCATGAAGACATTCCAAGCTGTGCTTGGAAGCCATTTGTGCAGGGGTTCCTTTCATGAACCCAACTGAATACAAGCCACTTTTCGAAGCAGGTGTCTGGACTGAAAGATTTCCTGAGCTGCCCAACAACATTTTCTATGATTCCACGAGTTTACAAAATCTGGACATAAAACCCTCTCTTTTTGAAACCAAATTGTGAATGAATCAGAAATCTGTAAATTTAGATAGAGATTATAGTTTCATCCCCTCTCTTCCATGTATTCTCTTCACAGGATATTGCCGGTGCTTGGCAGAGACTTGAACAAGCTGAGAAAGGCTATGAAGAGTGGCTGCTGAATGAAATACGACGACTGGAAAGACTTGAACACTTGGCTGAGAAATTTAGGCAGAAGGCTTCCACTCACGAACAGTGGGCATATGGTGAGCAGAGATGGCTTTTAACATTTTTAGTGTTTTAATGTTCAAAGTCGAACTGCCAATGCTGAGTATTTGCCAGCCAGGAACTCACTCATAAGTAGTTTGGACAATTTTAGAAACCTAAAATAATTGTCATGGTTTGAGATAGCCCCAAAATCCAATCCCCTAGTCTAAACCCCCTCCCACATCCCAACCTAACGTGAGATGGGTTTTTCCAGACAAAACACACCAGACTCAGAATGGTTTCGCAGACTTGGCAGGAAGCCAACTCCAAACTTGCACAATAATAACAGATAAAATGTCCGGTTTTGTTGACTGTAGTTGTGATCCTAAATTGTTGGCCTGTTGCTAATGAAATGTGACTGTAAAAATCATACTTGAGGTAGTGATTCAAACTTAATGGGAATATTTGGCATTTGAATATTACCATTACTGCTCATGTATTCCTATGAATTTGTACACAACAATCCAACTGGAAATGCAGTGACAGCTCTTGTTAAGTGTGAAATTATTAACAGAGATATTCCGAGTTGATTCTTATTCGGCCATCATGATGTTTTGAATAGTCCACATAAACTACATGATAACGGACTCATTTCTGCTTTGCTCCAAACCCTGGATTACACTCCATTTATAGTTCTGGTTTTTCATGGTAACCTAACCTTACATGTGGTTGTAACAGCTATAGGACCATACAGCGGCATTTAGTTTTGTTGGGGACTATTAAACATGGATCTGCTCAATCATCCTATTGTTTGCCCTGACAACTGCCTTCCTGCTTCTGCCATGCTTTTTCCAGCTAGATTCTTTTCACACTGTGAGAATAAACCAGAGTCCATCCTGTAACACAGTTGCTGGAAGCGCACAAGGCTGGAAATGGCTGCCAAGCCGACACTAGAAGGGAAACTACAGTGTTTGTTAGCCCTGAGAGCCTATTTTCTGAGCATAAACTACTCATGGTGACAAATTATAGCCGCTGTGCAGGGAAAACTTCACTTAAGCTGGTACATAGCAAGTGAAACAATAGTTGTGTCTGGCTCTAGAATTCATGGAGCTGTGTAATGCCATGTGGTGAGCTGCAGCTGTAGGGCCTGTCTGTGTGGATTCAGTTGTCCAACACAGGAGCTACTCAGGAGTAGTATTTCAGTTTCTACTTACTCTTTGCTTCTCTAGCCTTTCGTAAATAGGCTGGCATTTTCCACTTCAAATTCAGTATTGGATACAAAAGGCAGTCGCACATCTCAGGGTTTTTTTGGTTTTGTTTTTTTTTATGTGCTGAAATGAATAATGAATTGAAGGCAGAACATAAAAAAGAATAACATATTGTTAGTAAGAGTGAAACTGAGCATAGCAATGAGATTTCTGGTTTCATAAGTCTATTCGTAAGTCTATTCTACAAAAGACTTATCACAATGGTTTAGAGATCCAGTTTTTGCTAATATACCATTTTTATGCCAGTTTCTCCAGCAATTTCTCCAGTAATACTCACTATTTTAGACCAGTATAAACAGCCTATGAAAAAATCCAGAAAATACTGTGAGATCTTTAAAACTATATGTTTCTAATTAACACTGTTGGGCTGATAATTTGCTGCTGAATTTCAGTGGGGTTGGGATTTCATCTGATACATACGATTTTTCACCATGCCTGAGTTTAAAAAGTTGATTAAATTTGCAATTTTTCTAACAAATAAATTAGTGAAAAATGAATAATATTTTAATTTCCTCTTTCAGGCAAAGAGCAGACCTTACTTCAGAAGGATTATGAATCTGCTTCTCTGACAGAAGTCCGTGCCATGTTAAGGAAACATGAAGCTTTTGAGAGCGATTTGGCTGCTCACCAGGATAGGGTGGAACAGATCGCTGCCATTGCCCAGGAGCTGAAGTATGTTCCATTTAAAGGCTTGCAGCTGCTGACATTTAACTTTGAGATAAACTCTTTCCAATGAATTTGATAGTGTCATAGGTACCAACCTAAGAATTCCAGAGATAGCTTCATAAGTATATTATCTGAGCTGGTCACTGAGACCTTTCCCTCATCTCCCCCTTGCCCCCAACCAAATATAGATATTCAACTGACCAAAATTATTTGAAAACAAGCATTTTCAGCTTGACTTAACAGTAATCTTCTAGCATTAGTTCTGCTGATGAGTCCATTGTGTGTTGATGGGAATCCTGGAGGTGTTTATTTCACAGTTCATATGGTCTGCTGAGAGGTACTGGCTTTGAGTAATTTAACTTAGAGAATAATTCCACTTACACAAATTACAGATCGAGTATCTTCACAAGTATATTGGTCTTTTCAAAAGGCTTCACATCCGTAAATTATCTCTATAGCAGTGGGTAATGCACTGACTTTCTTGAACATTTAATTGTCTCTAGTATGTTTATTTTCACAAACACTTCATATTATATTGCAAGTGCCATTGTCTCCATTTTACAGAAAGGACAGTTGGGCATATGGAAACTAAATAACTTACTCATTGTCACACAAGAAATCAAGCACACACAAGGCTCTTCATAGGAGAGCTAGAGTTTTCACCCACAGTTCTATCAACTTAGCCAGAGGACCAACACTTGCTCATCCAGCATACTATGCCCAGAGAAAACACAACCAGAGCTGAGAACAACTCTGCAACACATTTAGGCTACATCTGTATCGTTGACATCAGCTATATAGGCCGGGGATGTGAAAGGTCAAGGCTCCTGACTGACTCCTTATGGCAACAAAGTCCTGAGTGCTGTTCACGTTGGTCTGGCTAAACTCTGCTTGCTGGTGGAGCCTGCTTTTGTTTGTGGGAAGGTTGTTAATTCACCTGCATGAAGCACAGCTTTGTCAGCAAAGCTCTGCCCACACTGACAGGACTGTAGTATTATTATGTACTGACGTTCCTTTTCTGGTCAAGTCATCTTGGTGTATACACCAAGATAAGCACATTTGATTTTATCCCCTTATGCAGTTAATTGCACTAGTTTTGTACTGTAAATCAGTGGTGCCACTCCTGGTCTTAGCAATTTGGCACTTACTTAAATTCCTTCCTCACCCGCAGTATAAATCTGTAAAGCCAACAGGAACAAATGTGCAGTAGTGGTCGAAACAGGAGCCAAGATCAAAATTCTCAGATTCCTGCCCTTGGCTTCAGCTCTCCAGGTTCCAGTTTCTCACCTTGAACAAGCAAAACAGTTACTGCTTAGAAACCAAGTGTTAAAAACATGCCCTCTTTTCACTTTGCCAAGGATCATGACTCATAAACAGCTCCATATTCATTAACAATTTAAAAATCAGAGACTTGTCTAAAAATGTAGTTCATACCTGATAGCAACAGCACTTACAGTAATTATGTAATTCAAAGGGATTTAGAAGAAAAATCCTATCTTCAAGATTATTTAAAGGATGAAAAGAAAGCACAGTGGGCAGACTAAGTACTTGTTTTTAGTTAATATGTGAAAGAAATCTGAATAATACAGAGAATGGAGATTGCACCGAGTATGTGAGCTTATGAAACACCTTCTGGCATGTCTTGATCTCTGTTGTGGAGTTATTTCATAGAATCATAGAATGGCTTGGGTTGGAAGGGTCTTAAAGATCATCTAGTTCCAATCACCCTGCAATGGGCAGGGACACATTCCACTGGACCTGGTTACTCAGAGCTCCAACCAAATTGGCCTTAAACACGTCCAGGGATGGGGCAGCCGCAGCTTCTCCAGGCAACCTGTTCCAGTACCTCATCACCCTCACAGTAAGGAATTTCTGCCTAATATACAGTCTAAACCTATATTCTTTCCATTTAAAACCATTCCCCCTTGTCCTTTTAAAAGTCCCTTTCCAGCTCTCTTGTGGGCCCCTTTTAGGTACTGAGAGGCTGCAATAAAGTCTCCCCAGAACATTCTTTTCTACAGGCTGGACAGCCCCAACTCTATCAGCCTGTTTTCTTAGGAGAGATGCTCCACCCCTCTGATCATCTTCGTGGTCCTCCTGTAGACCAGCTCCAACAGCTCCATGTCTTTTATGTTGGGGTCCCCAGAGCTGGATGCAGCACTCCAGGTGGGGTCTCACAAGACCAGAGTAGAGGGACAGAATCCTCTCCCTTGACCTACTGGCCACACTGCTTTTGATGCAGCCCAGGACGTGGTTGGCTTTCTGGGCTGCACGTGCACATTGCTGGGTCATACTGAGCTTCTTGTCAACCAACATCCCCAAGTCCTTCTCCCCAGGGCTGCTCTCAATCCATCCTCTGCCCAGCCTGTATTTGTGCATGGGATTGCCCCAAGATTTGTTTCTCTTTATACTAAAGAAAGTTTCTGTAACACCTAATCATTGTTAATTCAGCTTCAGCTTCATCAGTTATGAGAAACTTGGGGAATGTAATATACGTAGTGGAGCATCTGCTTACCAGTGTTTAGAACCCTGTGTCCTTTACCTCTGGTGACGCCAGTGAACACTGTATCCTATCTATTTTGGGATTGTCTCTTCTCAGTTGTTTCAGTAATTTGCTGTGTGAAGTTAAACAAGTTATTTGTGGCCTGGGCAGCAAAGGTGCTGAAAGCTGATTGCATTTAGAGATGCTCTAATTTGACTTCTTTGCTTCTCCATACAATAGGGCTATCAGTGCCTGATTTTCACTGTGACTCAGTAGCCCAGTTAGGCTTAATGCCCTTGGAGAACACTGAATGAAAGGTCATAAAGGTCAGGTTTTATCATTGGCTTCAAGCAGATAGGCAGCTTCTATTTAAATATTGATTTTAATTATTTATACATCATTCCTCCCACCGTGAGATTATGGAGGAAAATGCTGATTTCTTTCTTCATTCATATTTTTAAAGAAGGATTAATATCTGAATGCTAAGAAATGTGCATTTGCACTACACGCACGAAGTGTGTGTATATTTTTTTCCTCATCACTGAATCAAGCCCTTACAGAAATCATCAGCATCTGTGTCTAAATTCCAAGTCAGTACACCTCCATGTTTTGATTAGTCAATCTCTTGGATGCCTACCATTCCTATTTCAAAGGAGAACAATTGCTGTATGACTTGAACTCTACTTGTTACAGTTTCCTGTCTGTTCTGGTATTTTCTGCTGCAGCAGCTCAGCCCACTGTGTGCTTAAAGGTGAAGTTGCCACAAGCTTGTTGTTTGGTGCTGTTTAGATAAAGGATTTATGCATGTATGCAAACAGGTGATTCCAGCCAGGATGCTGCTATAAGATTCCCAGCCTGTACAGACTTAGATATTCCTTGGCAAAGAGGCATGACAGGGCTTGGATAGGGCTATACATAAAGCTGAAAGAAGCCAGGCATTTCTAAAATGAGATTTACCATTTATGACATAGCAAATGCTCACTTGAGTGAGCTGTACTATGAAGAGGAATGCTAATTTATGATCTTTTGTGCTTATTTTAATATTTTCAATCATCAAGGTAAAACTTTTGGAATGCATTTTCTTGTATACCCATCATTTCTAGTATAGCAACTTAATTTCAGCTAAGCAGACCACTGTCTGTAACACTAATTTGGAGAGTCTTTTTAATTCTGGAGACCCAGGCTCAAATTGTGCTTACGTGCATGGTTAACAGGAGCCTTGTTCTGAAGCAGTGCTAAAGCATGTTGCTCAGTGGATTATTTTTGTGACACTATCACTGTTCCTAAAGCAAGCTCATACTTAAGTGCTTCTTTGGATCAGGTCAAAATTTGACTAAATTTTTAATTTTTGACTGGGAGGAGTGGGTAAATATCCCAGAGGGTTGTGCAGCCCTAAGCAGGACCTCGACAGGTTGGAGAATTAGGCAGAGCAGAACTGTCTGAAGTTCAACAAGGGCAAAGATGATTAGGGGACTGGAGCATCTCTCTTGTGAGAAAAGGCTGAGGGAGCTGGGCCAGTTCAGCCTCGAGAAGAAACAACTGAGATGGGACCTCATCAATGTCTCTATCTCAAGGGAGGGTGTCAAAAGGATGGAGCCAGGTTCTCCTGAGTGGTGCCAAGCAACAGGACAAGAGGCAAAGGGCAGAAACTGAGGCACAGGAAATTCCCTCTGAGTATGAGGAAGAATTTCTTTACTGTGAGGGTGACTGAGCCCTGGAATATATTGTCCACAGAGGCTGAGTCTTCCTTACTGCAGATATTCAAGAACCAGCAGGATGCAATTCTGTGCAATGTGCTCTTGGATTACCCTGCTTCAGCAGGGAGATTGGACCAGATGACCCACTGTGGTCCCTTCCAACCTGACCCATTCTGTATTTCTGTGATTCTGTTATGGCATTTTATTTTTACCTGTTTTACCATTCTTCACTTTCAACAGTCAATTGATTGCAGAACATCTGAAGCCTCTTTTAAACAGAATGTTTCACATACTTCTCAGCTTTATCCCAAATCAGTTTGCTCTGTGGAGGAAGCATGAGCACTGCCTCTGGCCTACAGAGCTTCTGGCTTCTGGCCTGTGGCTTCACAGAGGAAAACTGCCTCTATTCCTTTTTGTGCTCTGTGATTCTCTTACTGGCAGTGTGATCTGTACAATCTCCTTGCAAATTGCCTAGGGAAGAATACTCAAAAAAAGGGAAAAAATTCTATCTGCATTTATTGACTTACTCAAGGCTCAGAGTAAATCTTAGATTCATATTGCCATGTGTCACATAATCACAATCTCTGCAATGCTTAGTACTGGGCAAAGTATCCTCAAGGACCAGCCAAGAGCTGAATTCAGTGGATGGTGATAGACTGATAAAAATGACTTTCCAAAGTGTCAAACACATGTATTGTGTTATGGATAGGTATTATCTGCCACCAAAATAAAAAATTCAGTTTGAGGCAGACTCAGTGCAGAATCTCAGTACAGACCCTTAAAAATTTATTCCAGTCTCAGGCACAATAGTAAGTTCTTTCTATCAGTATAATATAAGCCTGTTAAGTAGGTGAAAAAGGAGTGGTAACTGCCACATCCTTTCTGGCTGTGCTGATTCATGCTGGTGGCATATGTGGGTCTGAAGATCCCTGGTCTCTGAACTAGCCAGTTCTGTGGTGTAGCTCTGTGAGGAGTTCCTGAAAAGGAAGATGAAAATTGCTCTCTGTGTCCCAGATCTGGGCAGCCCCTATTAGTATTGCCAGGCCTGTGAGATAGATTATGCTTTGAATGAACCTGAGGTATATTTCTTAGTTAAATATTTTCAGAGCATAAAAGAATTGAAAGGATCATTGGATTATTTAGAACAAAATATATATTTCAGGCCAATTAATTTAAAACCGTACCAATCTTCAGAAACTTGATAAACACCCAGACTGGAGCATGATGGTCTTCAGGAGATCAAATTGCTTGTGCCACAGGAATAGCTAAGATAAAGATGCTTAGACACCTTAATTGTCTTTAATACCTGGATGTCACAGATGGATACATGATTTTTCTCACAACAGAGGAGATTGATCCTGATCCTGTGCTGTGCTTCTTGAAATGTTGAATGTCTAGATGACACATTCCTATACTGCAACACTTGCTTGCCTTGAGGAGAAATATTGCAAAAAAAGAGGGAAAGAATTACTGAGGGCCAGCAGAAATGTGAACAGTGCAACTGCTCCTGTCTTTCAGAAAGTCACACAGATTTTTCTCTTCACTCTTTCTTAGTGAACTAGACTACCACGATGCTGCAAGTGTCAATGATAGATGCCAAAAGATATGCGACCAATGGGACAGCCTGGGAACACTCACTCAGAAAAGGAGAGAGGCACTGGAGGTAAACTGTGTAACAACGATCAGCAGGTCAGCTGAGGCAGGGAGGGGGAAATGAACCATTTATTTCAGATCTGGAAATGGTGCCATTGAGCATCCACTTTGGAATCCAAACGCTTTGCTCAGATCTCCATTTCATCTTTGTGTGATTTCATTTGCAAACAGATAGGATTGCTCAGAGCAGACTTGAGAGTACTTAGCTGCCAGGGATACTTCTAAAGCAGCAATAAGTGGCATGTAGTTTGTAGCACCACTCTGTGGGAATTTGATGTCCAGCACGGCTAACAAAAGCCATTGGTTACATACCTTTTCATCCTTGTCTGAATTTGCAGTCTTGCATACTTATCTGGCCAGCAGTGTGTTAATTTTTTTGGTAGTAAGTATTGCAAAGCACTGAGTTACTTTCCAAAACCTTGTTTCTTAGGAAAAGAGGAGTCACATACATGTATGCCAAAGTGGAAAACATATGTCTAACTCTTCCTTTTTGTACTTAGAAGAAATTACTAAGTTTACTAAATCAAGATTAGCAGATTTTAATTAATTTGCAAATAGATCCCAACAAAAATACTTAAAATATCAGTAGTTATACTTCAAAGGCATACACTTTTAATGTGTTAGATATGAGAGTATCTTTACTGCAATTAGTCCTATTGCCTTGAGTGGGAATCCTCAAAGCAGGTGGTGAAATCAGTCAATGCAATCAAATGCTTTTGAAAAGACAAGGCATGACTTTGTGCATGGGTGGGTATGTGTTATGTGGAGCTAGATCTTGCCCTAGTAACAAAGGAATGTACTTTGCCCAACCTGTACAGAGGACGGAGAAATTGCTCGAAACAATCGATCAGCTTCACCTGGAGTTTGCCAAAAGAGCTGCTCCTTTCAACAACTGGATGGAAGGTGCTATGGAAGACCTACAGGACATGTTTATTGTTCATAGTATAGAGGAAATTCAGGTAAATGGTTTTTTTTTTGCTTAGAGTCATAGGGAAAACAAGAAAGGAAGATTTTCCTTCTGGGAGAGTAGAACACTTGTAAGAAAAATACCCATATCTGTCTTGACATTTTCTTTGCGATGGGCCATGTCTGCTCTATTATAAATAGAGGTCTTTGTTGGTATGAAACAATGGTCCTGATAAAGTCCTTGAGGGCTGTTTTGTGAATGTATCTAAATGTGTTATTTCCTGTATCTACAGATACATGTAGACAGGATGTTTGAGAGGCTGAGAGAGGAGCTGTGCTTATTTACAGCAGATGTTCCAGATGTTGGAAGAAATGTTAAAGTTTTCATGGTTTCCCCCTCTGTTTCTGATTTTAGAGTTTGATCTCTGCACATGATCAATTTAAAGCAACTTTGCCAGAGGCAGATGGTGAAAGACAGGCCATACTGTCGATCCAGAATGAAGTTGAAAAAGTTATCCAGAGTTATAGCATGAGAATAAGTGCAACCAATCCTTACAGCACTGTTACTGTTGATGAGATTCGCAGCAAGTGGGAAAAGGTAATGTATGCTAAATACATAAAGCACATTGTAACACAGTGTTCTAGTTTAGGAATACTGAGAATATTCAGAGAACTTTAAAATAAGTCTCTAAATTATTCTAGATCATCAGATGCCAGAATGAACTTTCTACAGTACCTTATACTATCCTTTATGTTTGCCAGGCTCGCTTCACAATATCCCTTGCTCCTGTCACTCAGTATTACCTATGTCCTCCTTGGCTTTTAGTGGGGCAAGAGAAGCATGTGTTCAGGCTAATGCAGAGCTGGTGGCTGGCCAGGAGGTGCTGTTAAAAGAACATAAAATTATTGTATTCTTTCTCTTAGTATAAACAGTAGTATGTGTGTCTCTTCTACCCAGATGCTGCTTTTCACAAATGTTATATAAAATTAGCTTTTTTGGGACCATTAATGTTCTATCCAATTAGACTGAAATTGGTATTGGCAATTGAAAATTCCTGGAGAGGGATTAAAGAGAGGCTGCTAGATCATTCCCACAAACTTTATTTAATTAGGAACCAAGACAGATAATATGGTGAAGGCACATTATTGTGTAGAGTGTAGAATTACATAAACTTACATGGACAAGAACACACCCTCAGTGGGTTATAAAAACCAAGCAGTATGGACTAAGGCCAGAATCTCCCTGGGCAATTCAGAAGGGTAAGCCAAACAAAAGCATATGCAATGAATTAGAGACCTTCAGATACACATGATGGACAGAACATGTCTCATACTATCACAATGGCTGTGCTCAAATAAAATGATTTCCACCAGCTGTTCTTAGAACAATTACTTAGAGATTGTAAAATCACCCATATTTCAAAAGAAAAACAAAGTAACTGCTCTAACAGCAGTTCAAGTGAAATAATTGTCTTGAACTTGAATCCAGCCAGAGGTGAGAATTTCTTCCCTCTCCATTTCAGTCTGTCTCGTCAGGCTGCCCAAGACCACATTATCAATTTCTTATGTTAGCAAAGAATTTGTTAATAAAAGAGTAATCATGATTCTGGCTTGTTCTTCCAATCGACCTTCAGACCAATAACAAAAATTAGTCACTGCAGACTTATTTGTTCCATTTATTTTTAAACTGTTCGATTGTGCCTACTCACATTTAGTACTTTCCCACTGTAACAGGTGAAGCAGCTGGTGCCCCAGAGGGATCAATCCTTGCAGGAGGAATTAGCCCGCCAACACGCCAACGAGCGCTTGCGTCGCCAGTTTGCCGCTCAGGCCAATGTCATCGGGCCATGGATCCAGACCAAGATGGAAGTGCGTGTCAGACTCTCATGCAGAAGCTGATGAACAAAGCGGTTTATAATTTTTTATCTCTACTTTATATAAAGGGCAACAGCAAAGTCCATGATAGTTTACCAGGTGTTTGATCCTGAACTATTTAGCACTTGTTAAGGTGATTTTTAAAACTGTGGAAGCTTGTACAAGTGGTACCTTAATGGTGAGCAGGAGATTCAGCTCTGAAAAATGAATCACTAAACAATTACTGTTTAGCTTCTGCTTTTTGTAGAAAAGATACTAAGATCACTGGGGTCTCAATATTGATTCCAGATATAAATGTGCCACATTTCTTTTGAAATGTGTTTTCTACAGCAAAATTTCTCATCTCCACTATATGAATGTTTTATTACTATTGCTTCTTAGTATGAAAATACGATATATTTATGTTAAAGTTGGTCAAATTAGCAAATATGAAGCTCAAATTTTGCGGGACTGGGGGGTGTCTTTGTTTCTTCTGACAGGAAATTGCCCGCAGTTCTATTGAAATGACAGGGCCTTTGGAGGACCAGATGAATCAGCTGAAGCAATATGAGCACAATATCATTAATTATAAACACAACATTGACAAACTGGAAGGAGATCATCAGCTTATACAAGAAGCCTTGGTGTTTGACAACAAACACACCAACTATACTATGGAGGTAGACATTTACTCCCTTTTGTACTTGTTAGTTTATTCTGCCCTCTTCTGCTGTGTAACTACCTTCCCTGATACGAAGGTACTGCCACAAAGGATGAAATTTGGCAGGTTTTATGATAATCTCATAAGACTTGTTGTATTTTCATTTATTTTCACTTTTAGTGAAGAAGGACCCATTTCTGTATTTTCTGAAGGCCATTTTTATTTTTAATGATCCTTGGTCATAATACAGAGTTAGTGGTATGGAAAATGTATCACATAAATACTTGGAGCTGATTTTTTTCTTATTGTACTTTTTATACCCTTAAAAGAATATATTTGATTCTGTAATAAATAAGTATTTTCTCTCTCATAGCACATCCGTGTTGGATGGGAGCTTCTACTTACCACCATTGCTCGAACTATCAACGAGGTTGAGACTCAGATCCTCACAAGAGATGCCAAGGGTATCACCCAGGAACAAATGAATGACTTCAGAGCATCATTCAATCATTTTGACAGGGTACAGTACTCCTGCTTTTTCTCAACTAGCAATCTTTATTCTTCCTTAAAGTGAGTTTCTTTTCATTCCAAATGTAAGCCTTTTTAAAAAACTGCAAATGCAGTTGCAATGGGCTCTTTTTAAAGGAGAAAAGAAAGATCAGTTAAGAAAGAATTTATAGCCTTAAAAGTCATAGAATGGCTTGCATTGGAAAGGACCGTAAGGATCATCTATTTCCACCCCCCACCATGGGCAGGGATGACACTCGCTGTAATCTGGATTACAGGTGGTTTTTTTTTTGAATCACAAGTTACCTCCCTAGAAATATATTTGTAGGAAATATAATTGGGGCACTGATAGCTGTCCAGGAATATCCTTTATTTTTCTGGCTGCATATGGGAAATAACAGGCTGTTATTTTTTTCACTTATCTAAATATTGATGAATAAAAAAGCAGGAAGGAAAACACTACTGTGAAGAAACTTACCTCTATAAGTTATGCAGTATTCATGGTCAGAGGGTTAAAAAGATAACTACTAATAGACACAATAGCAAAATACATGCAGATAGGGATCTGACATTCCCAACTGGAGAACAATCTGTACATGAGTTAGCTTTGATGGCTCTGTGCTCGCTTGAACCCACCTTCAAAACCAAGTTCACAGTTCACATACTGAAAAAAGTTACCATAATGCAGCATCGAGCTGTTGCCTTTTTACCAGTACAGATTGCTGTACTTAGCAGTCTATGCACAACTTTTGACTTATATTCTGTTATCATGTGAGTCAGCTTCTTCAAATCATTTCAGGCTATTTCACTTTCTTTTCCCTTACATCCTGTTTGTCCAGCTCTACTCAAACTGGTTACCCATACCTGCACTTGCATTTGATATCCATTGGGTACTGACAGTTTGCTAAATATTGTTTAGAATACCCTTAACTGTTTAGAAAGAAGAACAGAATTGCCAAAGCTCTGCTTTCTGAAGAAACACGCAAGCATAAGGAAGTTTAGCTACACGGGAACCAGGAATGGATTTTATGGAAAAATCTTAATGTGATCCTAGTGCAGCATAATTCTTTTTTTTTTTTGTATTTTCTAAGGAAGCAGAAGATAACATCACAGAAACAGAGATAAGTTTTCTGGGGTGGAAGGATGTAGCATACTAAATGGCTTTCCCAATGCACTGGAGCAGATAACTGAGCAATTAGAGCTATTAAAAGCAGACAGAGTACCAGGCCTGGATAAATTACACGCCAGTATTTGAGAGACCTCATTAAAGAAAAACAGGGACTTTGCACAAACACTTGACAGCTCCCTAAAAACAAGGAAGCAAGGTGACTGAATCCTGGTATATCTTACACTGGATGGCTATTTGTAGGATCCCTATACCTTTGTAGTTCACAGATGAGTTCTCTGGCATACTTGCAGCAAGGCTGGTTTAGTGGCTGAGGAGATACTATGGCCATCTCTTGGTGCCTCACAATGTCTTGAAGGGAAAAGCTAAATCATGCACCAACTGTCCCTATTGTTATGGATTTTTAGGCTTTGCAGATACAGTAAGACTGAGATAGCAAAGGATACAATAGAACAAGGCCTTAGGAAAGTCTGCATGACCCGGAAGAGGGTGGTCATGTCACACAGCTGGCAGCACACTGGAGATGTGCTACAACAATACTGTGTAACACAAAAATTGCTTCCCATCTCCTAGATTCTTACCTATCCCTGACTGTCTCCTTTCCTCAGGCTATAATGACTCATGGCTTCAGGCTGTGCTCCTTCTGCCCTGGCTTCTGTTGCAGGAAGCCTGAGTGGCTGGGTCAGAGGCGTAAGGAGACAGATAATTCATCTATCATTCATGATTCATACTCATTTGTTTCTTTGGCCTCAATAACCTGGGCCTGGACTGTAAATTTAGCTGTAGACTTTGCCTTCCCTCATTTCAGATATAATCCAACAGCTTTACAAGAGAGGTCTGGAAGGATTACGTAAAGGGAAAGACACTTTTGAAATGCTCTCTTTAGCGGACCCCTTCTGTCAGCATCAAACATGGGAAACTAGCCTAGGAGGACTTCTGACAGTGTAACAATTATGTTCTCTGTAGCATAATGCAAGTTAAAGAAAGGAAGAAGGTAAGCTCTAAAACCACTCAGCCATCAAGCCAGGCTTTCTGCAGGGGACAGATAGTAGAAACACTGATAAAAGAGAAGCTTATACGGATTAAATTACAGTGTTACTTAATGGACAGATGCAACTCAATCTACACAGGCTAGAAGGAGATATTGAACAAACATGTTTGAGAAAGGCAGGCTCAATTTTCATTTTTCCGTCTTTCCTATGTCCTTGCACACATGAATCTTTAGTGTTGGTGAATAAAGGAAACTTAGGGTGCTTCAGAGTTATGTCAGCTTACACAAAATAATGAAGACTTTAAACTTGGAATTTAGACAGAGAAGGCAGTAATGGATTCCTTTATGGTCTCGATTTCTTTAAATAGAAATGAAGATTAAGCTGGATTATCTGAAAGTAAGCACTAACATGAAAAATACTGTCTTTTCCATGTCAGATGGAATTAACAGTATATGTAAAAATGTTGTTGGACTTAGCAGCATATCTGAATGCCTGATGCAGTTTAAAAAATGCTCTGAAAGAATTGGACTGCCGTTCACAAGGATGAATAGCCAGAGAGGATCCCAAAAATTAATACTGTCTCTGACAAGGAGGCTTTAAATATCTAAGCACAACAGAATCATTTATGCATGCTATAGCTCTGACTTCTGTGGCATTTCTCCAATTTAAAACATTTCTTAATGTCTGACTCTTAGTCTGTGTTGAGGATGTCAGCAAAGTACTAATAGGCAGAGTACTCCCTTCCTCATTTTAAAGAACATTTTTTGGGTATACATAAATCTAACATTTTATAGATTGCTTCTAGAAACAACATCCTTTGCTTATAAATCTGTGGAAGGAACCTCTGTCTTCCTGCCCAGGAAGACTGTATTAAAAAAATTAAAATCTTACAGTTCATAATCCATTATGTGGCTTAATTCTGCAGTTTTTAATCCTTTGAAAGAGGGCTAAATAATTGGGTGAATAGTTTTAAATGTCTTCTACATCTCAAATATTTGAAAGAAAGCTCTTAAGCATTTTACAACTTTTTTTTTTGGGGGGGGCTGTATGTCCCAGATTCTCAAAATGGTGTAAGTGGGCACCAGGCATCTAAGAATTACAAGGGCAGGAAGAGTTCTGTTTCTGTCAGTGCAACCACCATCAGAGATGCGGTGGCACAGAAAGCTTTGCAAGTCACCTTTGTAAAGGCCAGTGGTAAATATGCTCTCTCCCTTGGGTCAAGGGGGCAGCCCTCTTGTGTTTCCAACAGGCAGGTACGCACCTTGGTACCCCAGAGGTTATTCCTGAGGATGCCGCTGCTTTCCCATTACTCCTTGCTGGAGGCTGTGCCTGAGGGCACAGTCTAGTTGTAGGTATAAATATAAATCTTTAGCAGTGCTGCTATTTCCTTCCTTAATGTGACTGCACAGACTGAAAAAGAGAAAGTGGGACACAATGTCTGAATCACAGAAGCAGCTTAGAAGTGTTCAAAATGATGCTGAATAATGGTATGCAGCCAAACTGGGACACCACACAGACACATTGTCAGTCACTGGTTTTGAAGTCTTTTTATGGAGGGATTCCTTTTTCATATTCAGTATATTTAGTAAATTCTAAATAAGATTGTGAAGTATGTGAGAAAATATCTGCAGCTGCTCTGCCTGCAATATCCTAATGGCTGCTAACATATTCTACTATTGATTTTTGTGCAAGCTACAGATTTCAAGTAGGAGGTCTGCATGATGAACAATAGCATCATACCACCCTATATTTTACTAAAAGAAAAACAACAGCTCCCTACTAAAGGAACCATATATTCAGGCTTATGCAGGTCAATTAGCATTCAGGAAAATGAAGGACATATTTAAGAATGGATTAATTTGATTCAGAAGCTCACTTGTTTTATAAAGCCAAATATAAATCACAAGGAGGAGGGAAAAGATTTCTGGGGACTAATAATGAAACATGAAGTGAGTTTTCAGTGTTTTACTTTGTATTGTCAGGAAAAGATGAACAAGTCAAAGTTATTTATATGCCTTAAAAAATGAATTTCAGTGCCTAATGTTGGTCTACAAACAATAAAAATAAATAGCATGAGCTATTTCCAAATGAGAAAGCCTTTGCATGGACTTGTTCTATGCCTTAATTACAAAATGCTGTTGAATCCCTTGAAACTCTGATATACTGCTAAGGCAAATATGCCTTTTTAGGTCACATACGATGGAGATTAGAAAAAAAAAATTCACTGCAAGAATGTGAGAATCTGCTATAGCACTTGGCACAACTACTTGGACACTCACTGGGGAGTCCCACTTAACCAGATGACAGCTCTGAGCTCCAGCACAACCACTGCACTTCTCTCCTAAAGAAAATGGTTTCTTGGTAGATGTGCTGTCCTCTCACTCCCATCTGCCCTTCGCTGCTTCTTGCATGACTCCCACTGCCCTGTGTGCCTGGATGGGGAGCTCATGCACACACTGACCACCAACTCCCCAGAGGAGTCAAGTAGCTCATAGTCCTCTACCAACAGCTGCTAGAGATGGATGACAGTGTTTGGCTTTTAGCTCCCATTTTTAAATAATTTTATTTGCAGTCACAAAATAGTATCTTCAGCTTTAGAAATAAGGTAAATTAGAAATAACTTCACCCCTGCTGTGACCTTCCGTAGCCTGTCTCCAGGATGGTTTTTGAAAGTTTTAAGCCAGTCTAGATTAACATTTTCAGAGTGATAAAATAAGCCATTTTGAATGCTTTATAGCAGGAATTATCCTATAAAATGGAAATATTAAAGGATAAAAAGTTTACTGTGATTATGGCTTTTAACGAAATGCTGCTCTAGATTTGTAACTTTGCTTTTTTTCTCTTCATTGACTTCCCACTGTTATTTTTCATCTTCCCTTTATGGATCTGGTGGATGTTGACACAGAGGGAGCCAATAACAGCATGATATTTCAAAAAATGCATGGTGTTATTAACTTAATAAAGTACCACGTCATCCTATTAGTATATTAAATAAGCCCAGTGCATTTGTTAAAACTCCTATAATTTTACTTATGCATAGCTATATAGAAATTTTTAAAAAATAAATTATTCATCTAGCAGGCAAATATGTAGCAGACAGAAAAACTTGGATCTTTTCCAAAATGACTGTAAAATCAATAGGGGTAATAATTTTTCATCTTAGAACATCTTTTTAATTGTATTTATGCTAACTCAGTCTAAAGTACCTCTCTGATAGTACACATTGTGTATGAACAGGAACAAAAAGACAAGTCAGTCTGTTTTAAGAATTTAGTGGCAGGTTTTTAACCTGCAAAATAGAAAAAAGTATTGGTTAAAAAAAAAAAAAATTGGTTCAGTTTGATGAACCACTAAACCTAGAAGCCACTTAACCTGGAATTCAATGTGGCTTTTTTAAAATCAGTTTTCAAAGCAAAACCTGAATGTATAGATTATTAAAGAAGACAGATAACTGAAAATAAGTTGCCAATTAAAAATTTATTTTGTACTTCTCCCTTTTGAGATATGTATATTATGTTAAGTAATATTATCAGATCAAGAGTGAAGGAATAGTAATTGAGTGGGGAAAATATGTTTTGCCCAGGTTCAGTGATATTTTTATTGCATCTCACATACACTGCATGACAATTGAAAATGAAGGAAGCAAATGGCAGTTCAATAGAATTAAAACTGCCTTGTCAGCAAAAATGTTTATAAAACCCAAAACAAACCCTGTGGAGGAAGCAGAGTTTTAACTCTTTAGTTGAAGTGAGGACCCTCTTTCACTAAGAAAAACACTAAAGCATGCAACTGCAAAAACTGTACACTTTTCAGGTAATTCATTGCAATATGCTGACATACATTTCCATGAAATTCTGTAAAAATGTGATTATTAATAGAAAAGTAGAATGTTCTCTACTAACCAACTAACCTGATCTGTGACTTTTCTTTCTTTCCTTTCACCTTCCCAAATGCATGACCTGTGATGGGATGCTAGGACGAGTCTCACAATCTCCAGTCTGATGAATTTAAAGCCTGCCTCATCAGTCTAGGACAGGTTGGAAATGACCTGCAGGTAGAGGAAACTGATTTAATTCTGTTTTCAAACAGACCAACATAATAGCCAAAGAGATTGTGTGTTTAAACTCCAGTCTATTGGTCATAATGCTTTGAAAAGATCCTATATCTGGGAAGACAACTGGATTAGATGGACTGTCATCATCACTTGGGGCTGTATTTTTCTATGTGGTTTATATGCAGTTTGTTTCTTTTACTTAGCTTGAGATGTTTTATTTGGACCCTGCTAGATACCCAGGGGAGCTCCTATGCTTCTTGCACTCAGACTTTTCCCAATTTTTCTTTCCTAGGACTCAATACAAGTTCTCTTATGCTTTATCCAGATTGAGGATGATACAATTCTCTCCAAACCACTGCATTATATCACAGCACAGAGGAAACAGTTACCTTCTTACTATCATGCCATTTAATGTTTACTCAGCTTTCAGTCCAGAATGTCAAAGATATGTTATTGCCTGGAAAATAAGCAACCTCATTTTATACAAGGACTTCAACTGACCTCCTTCTAAGTCTTGTAAATCTCATCCTTTAAGCCAGTATCCATATCTCTGCTGTAGTCCAGGTCTTGACAGCCAGCAGTCAGAAAGAAAATCCCTGTACTTATTTCCCATATGTCAGCAAACAGCTCTCATAATGCACCTACCCTGGCCTTGGAGTGAATTACATGACTGTTTTTTACTATACTTATAGCCACTACAGATTCCATGCAGAACCTTTCAAAGACATTTCATATCAGGGAGGCAGCTTGAACATCTCCTGAGTTTGACTAGTCTAGTAACAAACTTTTCTCCTTGCCCTTCTCTTTGTCTTCCATGGTTGTGTTCTCTGTATTCTTGTCCCATTCATCTCCTCTTCTCCCTTGTCTCTCCCCTGACCTTTCCTGATGTTACTTTTTGTGGTGAAAATGTCTGTTTCCTGCGTGTAATATGTTAGTTACTTCTTCCTCTTCTAAAACTGATGATGATTCTGGTGACCTGATCGGGCAACATCAATGAATACTGTTCATGCTCTGGATCCAATATGCCAATGGTCTAAACTCGTCATCTCTCTGGAAATTGCCTGGGATTCTTCAAACCTTCCCTTCTATATTCCTTACATTGTTTTGGTCAATAGAGGAAGAATGGATTGATGGACCATGATGATTTCAGAGCTTGCTTAATTTCAATGGGTTATGATTTGGTATGAGTTTTAAGAAACAATGTCAACTGATTCTGCTTATAGCTATAATATTAACCACAGCGACACTAACGCTTGTTTAAATAGACAGAATACTAATATAATTACACAAGAGATACTATTTTCTTGTTTCTTTGTTTTTTCTCTAACTTCAAATGGTTAAAAGGGAAGTTAAAACTAGACACTTGAAAACCATATTCTGTGGTCCAATGCATTGCTCTTTGAATTAAGGAAAATTTAAAAGTTGAAATTAGGAGTTACTAAATTATTTTTTTTTAAACTTATCCTTTTCTATCTGCATGATGAAGAATGAGTTTGTTACTGTTTAATTTTCATAAACTTGCTTTGGGAGTTGCATTTTCTTTGCTTCAATTACTTATTCTAAAAATTTCCTCCCAAATTCACCCAAACAAAATGATCATCCTTAGTTAAATTGACATGCATTTGGCACGAAATTTTCAGAATTGTTCCCTCTCTTAGTTCAGTGGGTCTGCAAGTACACTGCTTCTTGGGCTATTGTTTCACCTTCCTGTGTGGTACCTAAATTTACAATGGTTTTAGAATGAGGTGGAAAATGAAGTGTTAAGTTAAAACAAGTTAAACAGGCACTGAGGGAGGGTAGGAGGGAGAGAAACTGGAGACAGTTAATTGAAAGGTACATACTCGGTAGTTAGGACAAAGGATACATTTTTCAAAAGTACAGTCCTTTTTACAAAAGAGGGGTGGGCATTTAAGATCCCAGATTTCATCAACTCTGACGTTGATGTTCCTAAGTCAGTAAAATGCTTTAAAGGGTCAGTAACCAGTGGTTCTGACTGGTTCATGAGAAGTTCGGGCTGCTGGAGATTGATATTACGGTGACCATTTTTTGTTTTGGATTCTGTGAAAGGGTGAAGCTGAGTTTGCCCGAATCATGTCTCTGGTTGACCCCAATGGGCAAGGAACCGTCACTTTCCAGTCCTTCATTGACTTCATGACCAGAGAAACAGCAGACACAGACACAGCTGAGCAAGTGATAGCTTCCTTCAGAATCCTGGCTTCAGATAAGGTCAGTCACCATGCTGCTGGCTGTAAGGATTCAACAGCTTTCCCCTTTAGCCCTTCTTATACAAGCCTTTTAGTAATAGTGAAGCTTTGTTTGCAGTTTGTAAAACTTCAGAGAAAGCACTTGCCTTTTTGTTTTGCTTGGATTCTTACCTAAAACAGGTGCAGAATACAAGGCTTGGTCCATGTATTCTCATATCCCAGAGAGCAAACACAAAATCAGACATCTTAGACAAGACTTGGACAGTTGGTCTGTATAATGGATATATTGTACATCAGGCTATTTCCACACAACATCCTTGATTAGAGGGGAACTCCTTCTGCCTTTCATGCTGTTGTCTGGATGTTTCAATGCGAAGTTTGGGCGTCTGGAACATAGCCTGGGTCAGTTGCACAAGACTTTACCTAATTTTGAGCCATGTTGTGACCAAACAGCTCATTCAACAGGGCAATGCAATGTGGTGTACCCCTATCCCAGGAGGAGCCAGAAGCAGGAGGCCCTAGTTACAGGGTTTGTGGGAGAAGCTCCTGAATTTGGCATACTTTCCTGCCCACTGCCAGATCCACTGGTGAGTGGTGTATGAAGATGAGAGGGTATATAATGGCAACACAAGAGCTTCTGGAGGAGTCAGGGCCATAAACAGTGCTGCCAGGAAACCAATCCTGTGCTGTGCAGAAAGGAGAGATCACAGCAGCACAGGTCTATTTGCCCAAGCTCGCTCTATTGATTTTCTCATTCTGCCTGTTTGTATTGATTTTGTGATCTCAGTTAATGTGGACCACATTTTGAATTCCAGACACGTACTCAGTAGCAATTCATGTGGAAGATGGTCTCAGGAAAAAATGGTTTTCATTACACTGCTATTTTAAGCAACGTCAAGTCTGTTAACAGAGGGTATCCCTCATATCATAAATGCAAACCATTAAGAATAATAATACATCTTTCACTACACATATATTAGAATCTTGAAACTAACGGGAACCATCTGTGTCTGTCCTGTCACTGCAGAAGGGGCAGTAGTGCACTTCTGAGATCCTGACTATGTCGGGATGAGCTGTATCAATAGCAGCCTACCCGCGGCTGCACAGTGCTTGGTAGCTAATGTGCACAGTCACATACCCCGAGACTGCATTTTGACCTAATCAGTTTGTTGGTAGACTTGTCCACTTCAACTCATAATTAGGGATGGAATTTACCAGGGAAAATATCTGGTCTCAGAAAAATAGGCAGGATGTCCAAATTTATTAGTCACAGCTACAGAAAAAAAAAAATATTGTGTCTTTGAAGAATACATACTGAATTTGTCAATGCTTTTCCCCCTCCCAGCCTTATATCCTGGCAGATGAGTTGCGCCGAGAACTGCCTCCTGAGCAGGCTCAGTACTGCATCAAGAGAATGCCTCCGTACACCGGCCCAGGCTCTGTTCCTGGGGCTCTGGATTACACCTCTTTTTCATCAGCACTGTACGGAGAGAGCGACCTCTGATTCTGTAATTGGCCTCATTCATGGTAGACACTAAAAATACCCACCTTATCGCCCAGATTGCTTCTCAAAAGCTTTGACAAGCTGATTTAAAAACAAGTTTTACAAACACAGTAGGGTACCGTCAGTGTAAAGTGCTAGTAACTAACTGGTGTATACTGAAGTGTGCAGCACGCTAGATATCTGCCTTGTTGGTTTTAGGTTGTCTGTCCTATACGATGCTAGAAAATATATTAAAATATATTTAAAAAAATCTCAAGATAATAACTTTGAAAATATCCATTCAGAAAATAGAATGTAAAACATAAGAACTCACAAAATATTTATCCATTTTCAAAATGTTTCAATGCCATATGCGCTTCTTTTACAATGTTCCTACAAGTATGTTAGAAGTCACGCTTTTTTCTTTTGTAGAGCAATACTATTTTCCTCTCATGATTTCTGATTTTGTATGCTTCTACCGGTGGAATTTAATAAAATATTAAAATGCAGTTTTTCAGGGAAGAAATATAACAACCAAGTAAACTACTTAATTACAAAAATAATCCAGAATGCTATGCTTTTGTCACAAAGGATTGTAATATAGGGGGGAAAAGCTCTTTAAATTGCAGATTTAGAGTTCTGTAAGCAGTACTTTTCTTTTAGGCCTTTAACTTTTACAGCTGAGGGAGTACAACTTTTATAATCGGAAATAAGAAGGAAGCTAATTTCATGTGAACTGTTCTGTTTTGAAACCCTCATTCTTGTCTGTGTTGAACAGTATTTGTTTCTCAGTATAAGAATGCATTATTATATGTATTAGTGGGCAACATTCATCTCTATCCTGCATATTGCAAACTCCCATCTGAGCAAATGTAGAGTGGTTGTCTTGCAGCTTTAACTGTTCAGTGCAAAAAATTCAGTTTGTCTTCTACTGCGTCACAGGCAGTTCTGTCTGCATTCTGCTCCTGTGTGCTAGTTGTTTACTGTTCTTTTTCCATCTTGAGAAATCATAGAGAAGTAAAAGCAGTAACTTTTTTACTTGAATCCTACTGACACTGAGGAAATGCAATGTAATCAAAAAAAACCATTTACAAATGGTGAAGTGAGCTGTGCAGCCCAGTGCTATTAAAGCAATGATGTGCCTATTAAATAAAGTCTGCTTTTCAAAACCTTATGAGACTCTGTTATTGTCAATTATCTAGTGGTTCCCTCTAAGAACTGGAAACATTTCTGAACATCAAAGGAGTTTTCAGATGCTAAAAGTTCAAAAAAAGTATGTTGTGCATTCCAATACATTGTGTTTCCATGAACAACAATTGCTATGTGCTGCAGGGACAGGTATGGTTTCATGAAGAAAGATGGATCTCAGAATGAGTGGGAGAGTTTCCATTTAGGTCACCTGAGCACAAATGTCCATAGCTTGTTAGACTCCAAGCTTAGATTGATTTCCATGAGACTTAGGCACTAATGCTTTTGAAGATGCTGGCCTTAACTTTCCTATATCTCTCTTTTTCCTCATGCAAAAAAGCAGATGTTAAGTATTAAATGGTGCTTTCACTCGCCTTTGTTTGGAAATCTAAGGATGGCAAACATTAAAAATCTGTGTGTCATTTCAGTGCTAAAGTAGGCACCTGCAGGTAAGGTGCATGGAGTGAGAGCAATTTCAAAACAATCCCAGAGGAGACAGGCAATGATCAAATACCTCTTCCTCCTCCACCTTGTGTTCAAAGGCCAGCAGAGGACTTCCTAGGGCTAGGATCATATCTCCTACAGTGCATGTGCAGCCTTGCACACAGCCGTAAGTTGCTACTGCCATGGCCGATACTGACATGATGCAGGGCCGTTTCTTTCTGTGATGACAGTGCCTGTACAAACTAAGTCAGGAAACTCTGCCTTAAAGCAATGCCATTTCCAGCTAAATGGCTGCTGAACAGACTGAATCCTAGTAAAAAATAACTCTATATATCTCTCATTGTCACAGTTTAATGCAACTGGAAGAATAAAACACTGAGCTTCCAAATGTGGCACAAAAGCGAAATCTCAGTGCTACAGGCAGGATTATGCTAAAAATTGACAGAGAGACAGTTTATATCTAACACTTCCAACATGTGTTGTTCATGTTCTCTACCTGCTAATTTTTATATTGTGATATTATTCCTATTTTTGATATGTATGGAAGGGACTTCTAAACTCCTTCTTTAGCTAAATGTTCTGTTGATCAAAGCATATGAGAGATAATGTTATCAGCAGCAAGAGAAAAAGACTTTTGCAAAGCAATTTTTTCAATCCTATATCAAGTTTCTAGTTTCTAGAGTCAAAAGAACCAGTATCAGAGAGCTGCAGGGATTAATTATCCATCTATACTTGTCCAAAAAATGTTATACCATATTAATATGCCTTTCATGTAAAATGAAGAAGTGTCATAAAGTGATTTCCTCCATCAATATAAGTAAACTGTGCTATTTTACCCTATAGAGGGTAAACCTCAAGGTTCTTTAAAATATTCTGTGGTCACTTTCCAGGGCTATGGGTTTTACCGAGAGATTTCCTTTTCCTCTAAGGCTCCATTTTCAGGAGATGGCATTTGTATATTTCTTCAGGATCACTCTTCACACTAGGAATCAATGCAATGGTGTTTTCTATTTACTCAATTCTGGCAGCAAACTAGTTTTACTACAAAAAAGTCCAGTAACTGAGTTCAGGGTAATGGGTATGCCAATCACAGGGGCCAAATCAAGGCTCAAAGGGTGAAGGTACATCATTATTTTGAGGATCATGTGAATGAAGGTTATAGAATAACTTACAATTCAAAAAGTCAGTAACGTTTTAAGTTGCCTTAATGACTGTAATACAGATAATGTCTTCTGTGACTTTACATGGACAAAACAGTTATTTGAAAACCTTCCTGCCAAGATAATCTTGATTTTATAGTTATAATTTTCAGATAGTGATTTTAGAAAGGTGCTGATGCATTTAGAAATCTGGTGTCACCTCTATGTTACCTTTATACTTCCTTTCTTTGTACATAGTTTCCAATGTTGCTTTTCTTACTCACTGACCACAAAAGGTTTGGAGCAGAACCGCTCCTAGCAGCTTGTATTTTCATCAGAGAACATCCTGTTGTTCAGTTTCCCAATTCTTGGAGGAGACCATGATCTTTTATTCAGGTTATTCATGGATTTGGATGGTAAGCAGTTTTCTTTCTCAACTTAAATACCTTGTGGTTGAGAGAATTCTGGAAGGAAGTAATTGTTCAATTATTGCTAGTGTATGAACAGGCCATTAGGAGCATGTTTCCAGCACTGTAATGGCATCAATATTTTTTGGTGGGCTTCTACAAACAGTTCCAGTAATATTTAAATGAGAAAATAATACCTGTTCATTACCCGTGTCCCTCTTCCCCAAGTTTTATGGTTAACAACCTGTGCACTTATTTGCTTGTGCATCAGTCTATCTTCTGCTTATGTTCAGAGGGCATTTTATTTGAGGAGCCACCAGCAGTGTTAAGTCTGCATTATAGACAGTTGTTTGCTAGTACGTTCTGGTGAGATTTCTACTTGTGTCAGACCAAATATTTTTATCTAGGAAAACTGACTGTTCTAAGCTGGATTTTATTTCATATTAGTCTCTTTTTAAAATATGTTATTCCTTTCTAATTTTAAGCCAAGTTGTGGGCTGCCACCACAAAGGACAAGTCTATCTCCACTTTTTCCATGATCCTCTTTATTTATAAATAGAACAGTTCCCATGTCTAGTTACCATGCTGGCTGGGAATACATATCTAGGGTGCTTAGAATGGTAGATTATCCCCTCGAGCAGCAGCCTATATTTACATTACCTTAAAGTGATTGGGTAACTGTGGAATTAGGGGCCTAGCCACCCACTTTCACTGAAATGCCTTTATTATTCACAACAAAAGAACATTTATGTGCAGACAACAAAGCTTGAGCCAGTATGTGGACTGTTACTAATTTCCCTCATTAATCAAGTGTTATATTAAACAATAAGCCCAGTCTTTTCCATATATGAGCTTGACCAGGATTTCATATACTAATCTTAAAAAGAAATTCCTCTGCCAATTTGCTAGGTTTTGGGAAATGTCATTAGCATTTATAATACTGCTTTGCACAAATTTGATTATCAGCATATTGCTTTAATTACTTGGAAATCAAATATACTGGATGAATGTCCTAAGAGGATAGAAGTCCTGAGGCTATTTTAACACCCCACTATCCCTCGATTACTTGCACCTGGCTGTTCTGTTTCAAAACCTGGCTGCTTTATTTGGCCTTAACTCATGGAAACTTTCTTCCTTTCAGGACACCTGTTAATACTCCAAGTGAAAAATGCCCTTGAGCATTGTCCTTGGGAGGAGTGGTTATCTTATGTGCTCTCCAGAGCTGGAGCCTTCCAGCTGCATAATGGATACTTGTGTCAGAAGCCCAGGTATAGAAGAGCTCTCTTGGCTCAAACACTGAAGGTCCCATTTCAGGTTTTAGCTAGTCTGCTGATAAGACTAAAAGAAATATTTACATCAGTTGCCAGCAAGTTTGGCCTTGATTTGAATGGAACTGTCAAGACAGGCACACCAAATTAATGTAATTTAAAAGAAAATAAAAGCTCCACAGAAAGGCATAGAATGGCTGTATCGAACACCTTGTTCAGACTTGTATCCTGGCCCTGACCATTACCAACAGGAGGAATAATGGAAAAATGTAAAAGCGAGACAGTGTGTGGCCATGTGCGCCCAAAAAGTCTCTGAGCTGCCAGTAATTTGTGGATCATGAACTTGTGGAACACTGCACACTGATGCCAAAATTTAGTCTGTTTTTCTGATAAAGTAATATTTCCTCTGAGAGCTTTTTGTATTCCTCTCAGTGGGACCTACTGCATCTATAAATTCTCCAGCAGGCTATTGGATATGCTTGAAAAAAACATTTACTTGTCTTTCTTTTATCTTTTGCAAACTGCTCTTCAAAGTCTTTTTGATTTCCTTGATTATCTGTTTATACTTAACCTGCCAGAATTAATAACCTTATTTTCTTCATGTGGACATGGTGCCAACTTTCTGAAGGATGCTTGCAAAATGCAGGCAATCCAAGAGAGAAGAAATCCTACGTCCCGTGAAATAAACCCCAGTCCCAGTTTTAACAAACTCTTTAGCAAAGCTATTTAAATGAAAATCAGACACCCAGTCATGTTTGTTGGGTGCCCAGATGAGTGTGATGAACATGTACAAGAGACACAACGCTGTCAG